AGTTGTGTCAGTCGCTTGTTTCAGGAAAATAAATCAGAAATTTTTAAAGTTTGCAGTTTTAATGAATTGTTATGAAGAGGAGGTTGTGCGGGAATATATAACATAGAACTAGTTTAAAATGTATGAAACAAACGACAACATAAATATATGAAAAGTTCAAATAAAACACAAAAGTCTTTGTATAAAAACACTTGTATATATATATATTTTATGTTCAAAATTCTTAATACAAGGTTTGCATATACCTACTTGCAAAAAACTGAGTACCAAAAACAGTATAAATTTTGTACTTATCTGGTTGTTACAAGCCTGAAATTGTGTGTCAAAGAGCAAAAAGAGAAAGATTCACTTTCCCACCTAACAATGCCTCATGCAGGGCTTGTCAGATCACGTGACTGTTTTTATTCTCGTGAATATTTTTCATTGCCATTTTTTCTTTTGGTCAAGGGGAGATAACTTTTTTGTTTCTTACTACAAACATCCCCACCTGGTAGCAGAGTCTAAATAGTGGTGATATTGGTTGTCTATTTTCCAAACTTTCCTACTTGCTTTCGTATAATTATGTTTTCTGTATCCATTATTATGAGGTTCCTTTTCTGTTATTACTTGCTTATCACTTTTAGGTTCAACATGTGGTTTTAATTCATCTATTGATACTGTATCTCATTGATCATTTTAATTAGAAAATATTTATCAATTCTACACAACACTTGAAAGGGACCAATGTAAGGGGGTTCCAGAGGTGTGCAAACTCTGTCTACTGTTAACCATACATTTTTACATGTCTTAAGTTTGTCAGGAACATATTTATGTGATTTATTTACAGAGCATTGGTGAAACTTTCCATACTGTATGTGGTGAACAGAAATTAAACCTTTCAAATGACTTCAGACACTTAATTTTTCACATTTTATATCAAAAGGAATTTTGCATAGGCTTGCTACCTTTTCTTAGCTCAATGCTTAATTTCTGTGAATACAAGGTTTTCATTGGTCCAAAAGCAATTTCACATAGGGTCACAAATTTATTTCTGCCTTTTCCTCAGTTCGCCAATCTCTGTGAAGGCAAGGTTTTCATTAGTCCAAAGAAAATTTCATATAGGCTGTCATTTTCCTCAGCTCACCCAAATTTGAATGGAGTGGGTAAAGGGAGTTATTATTATTTCATACCCACTATAAACTCCCAATTACTATATCACCAAATTGACAAATCAAGGCTTTAATCCACAAGATGTCCCTAGACATAAACAGCAGATTAAGAACCATCTACCTCATAGATTAAATAAAGTGTTCAGTTTGAAATTCTATGTATGTTACCTGGATCGACATACAGCTGAAGGCCAGAGGGCACCATAGGTGAAACATTGCAAAAACAAAGATGAGGACAATAATCTGCATGCAAACTGCGATAACTCCACATGTCAGAAAATACTGTTAGTTGTTACCATAGTTTTTTTTCTCCCATAATTCTTTTGTATATAAATCACTGAAATTATTTTCAGAGGAAGATAATGCAGTAGTAATTTGTCACAGTTACTATTACTACAGTGAGTAAATTTCCAATTAGGGCAAAATTTAAAAGTGAAATTTATTTACAATAAGTCTTCTGTAAAAAGGAGTATCAGTTGATTTTCTGCAGATGTGTCTTTTCATCATAACCAGTTCTATTATTTGAAATGTTTATAGAAATGTCTGTTATAATGTTCATACATATTAATGAATATAATTACTCAGTTTACAGAAGAAAAAGAATTACAAGTCTATTGACTTAAAGAAGCTGACATGTAGTTTCAGTCGTTGGTGAGCCTTGATTCCTAATAACTTATCTCTGGGTAAAGGGAGTTATTTGGTAGTTGTGTAAATGTTTTTTACATTTTTCCTTTTATTTAAAATACGTAATTTCTATGAACAGTAAATATGTTTTTCAAATTTTTACATTAGGTGGATTTTTCATTTCACCATTTCTTTCCCTTTTTGATATCTACATTGGTGACTTCCCTTATGAAAACAATATAGTCAATTATCGATATTATAAGCAGGACCCCCACTTCTAAACCGGTAACAAAATAATATGGTAAAAAAAGTCTGGAATTGGGGGCCATAACTCACATATGCAAAAATGAAAGTAATTTTGTTAATACATTTAGTGACTTATAGGCTAAAAGATATCCATTGATACTGAAAGAAATCCTGAAGAATTTAATTAATTACTGTTGCTGATAGAATTTGTTCCTGATAGTTCAAGAAGGATTCTAGAAACAGTCATCTAAAGACAAGGTTCTACTATAATTAGTGATGGCTGATCCACTTATAATGAGCTAAAATTTTAAAATGATTTGCGGTTGGTACAATAACAATTTTGTAACTTTGTTGATTTAACATGGGTGAATCTGCTTCCTCAAACAATAGAGAATAGCTGGCTTCACCTAAAGTAAAGCATTTCCTCAGAGAAAAAGGAAAAACAAGTATCCACATGAATGAGAATATTTCAAAAGAAATCAAAAATGTATTTGAAAATATAAAATTTTAACTTGTGAATTATGGCCCTGATTCTAGACTTTTAGTTTCAATTTAGCAGTATTTTTTTTTTTATTCAGACAAGAAGAGTCACAGCCTAAGGGAGGTCTAACTAAAGAAATCAATAAAAATTATTTCCCCAAAATATTTTTTATGGGCAAAGATAAGTAGTTCCAATTAATTATTTAACAATATCTCCTAATTACTAAATTAAATTTTAGAAGAAAGTATTAAATTATAATCAGAATAAAACAAAAGGAATACTAAAAAAAACCAAATCTAATCAAAAACATAGCACATGTGTTTCGAGTGCTTTTTTAAAGCCAGACTAAATCTCTCTGTGGACTGTGTATGTTACAGGGGTGGGAGCGATTTGTCATCTAAATTACTCAAAAATGAAAATAATACTGATATCTTATTTTAACAGGTAGATTTACCAAAATTACACAAAAATATCTTGAAATAAAGAAAGAATAAATTTATTCAATAAAATCGCTATTGGCTTCAACCACGGTCCCAGACGACTTTGGAATCTCTTGCAACTCTTCTGGGCGGTCTCTTTGTTTAAGTTGGTGAATTCTTTCATAATCCTTGCCTTCAGTTCATCTTTGGTGTTACAAGGAGTTTTGTCGGTCTCTCGCTCAATTGCATCCCACACATTCAAGATTGCAGTCTGGGGAGTTAGGTGGCTAGAGGTATTGTAAGGGGTGATGTGGTCGCAGAAATTGTCTGACAGCCATGACTAGGTTCTAGTGCTGTTATGGCATGGTACGGAGTCCTGTTGCCAGACATAGGGTCTTCTAGCGGCCACCCTCTTGAGCTGAATTTTGGTTAGCTACGCATTTCGATTTACAAAAAAAAAAAATCGATGATTTATATTCTTCAAAGTCTTCTGCTTTTAAATGATAATTACTAAAGGGCACAACGTCGAATTTTCTTGAATGCAACATCTGTAAAAAAAATATTTTTACAATGACTTTCTGAAAAACATTTCTAAAATAATTTAATTTAATTTATTTGCGAATAAGTTCTGAAAGTTTCATTAAAATCCGACAATTATTTGATTTTTTCAAGAATTTCCAAATTAATGTTTTTCAACTGAAAAATGGCGCTAAAAAACTAATGCTAAATTATTACGTGACAGCTGATGTAAAAAAAAAAAAAAAGAAAGATTTTTAAACAAAATTTCGAACGTGTTAGAAAGGATGAAAAATTTTTTTAAAAATACTTTGGTCTTTCCTCTTAATTGAACGTGAACATTTTGACGATAAAACTTTGTTTTTATTAAGTTTGGGGCCTTTTTTTTCATCATTCTATGCCATTTTGCTATTATTCGGCGAATTAATGAAGAACCCTGTGAGAATATGGATAGACGCATCGCCATCACTAATGACCACTACGTAACAAACACCATGACGTTGACTGGATATTTGATTTTCATCACTCTTGGTACATCTTTTGGGGACACAGTAAGCCAACGGTTGTTATGTATGTCCACCATCTCATGATGGCAGAAACGTTTCTGGTCTGAGAAAACCAAAGCATGTTCGGTTTGGAGGGGGTGCTTGAGTTTGTTCAAAAGCTTCGTAGCGCTGCCTTTCATCTAGTGCGTCCTTCACGGCTTGGGATAAAAATTGTGCCTTTCTTATGTTGTGAGAATGTTCTCATGCACTACCTGCTTGATAAGAAACTCAGACACTGTCCCTGGCTGACTTGGAGGGATCGTTGTCAGTCAGGGCCTGCATCTCAGCAACAAATTCGGAAGTTTTTTTTTTATCAGAACGATCAGAGTAAGTTTTCCGATCTGCCGTACCATTAGACTCATCCAACTCTTTACGAATGGCCTTTATCTCAGCAACAAATTCCGGAGTTCTTTTCGTATCAGAACGCTCAGAGTCAGTTTTCAGATCTGCTGTACGTTTGTAATCACCATTAAACTCATCCAACTCTTTCCGAATCTTCTGCACTGTCTTCAGATTGACACCCAAACACTCTGAAATTTTCGTATTAGAGCTTCCGGCGCGAATGCCAAGCAGTATAGCATGCCGTTTCCAAATTTCTGGTGGAGTGAAATGCGCCATTGTGCTCTTTTTCTCAGTATCCAACTGACCTTACTATATTGTACAGTCGATAAACTAAAAAACAAACAACGCGCATGCGCGAAATTAAAATATAAAATGGAGACAATTTACCCATCGCACCCTGTATGTTAGTTGCGTATTTAACAAAAATAAAATTAAAAGATGCCTTTTAAATAGTATGCATATTTTCAGTTCTTTATTTTATTTTTACTATTTATTTTTAGATAATTTATTCTAGCTTTTTACAATATTTTCTTATTCTATCTACTCATTTTTATTTACCTAATTTATCTGTAATGTGTTAACGCCTGACTCTTCCGGTCAATTCAAATCCTGTTCCTTGAGAAATTGAACGAAAAAAATTTGATTTGTTTCGAAGAGATTCTCTCTCGATTTAATCAACATGCCGAAAGTTAAGTCAGAAAAAAAGTTTCGAAAGCATCAAGACATACAGAAACAGGGTCAGTAAAATTATATCTGTGGTGTAAAATAGTTATATTTTTTGTTTTGCAGGTAGAAGCTATTCTCATTTTTATTATCAAAACAAGTTAACAATTATTTAAAAAAAAAAAAATTTAAAAAGTAACAGAAAATAATTATTCACTAATTCAATATGAAGAAAAAATATTTGCAATCAAAACCAATATAATTTTTATTTGTATTTTTATTCAAGTCTCAATATTTTATTTTATTTATTTTTGTGGCACGTGTCATTTGCTCGTCCCTTTATATTGTGAACTGTTTTTATAAAAAAAAAAGTTTATTTTATAATCATTGATTTTCGTACAAAATGTTTTGGCTTCTTTCAGACTTTAACAATGTTTGTATACCAAATACTGTAACTAAACATGATTTATACCGGAAAACAAAAATTGTTTAGTTTATTTTTTTTTTTATTAGCTATAATTTATCACAATTCTTCTCTCCGATGTGCCGTGGACGATCATGGCTCTCCACAATTTCCTGCCCTTTGTACGATTTGTCCCCTCCTATTCTGCTAAACGTTTCATAAGCTCGTTAGGTAGGTTATTCGTTGCTTTCCTCTGCCCAACCCCTCTCTTGCCTTCAACATACTGAGAGTATCAAATTTTCCGAGCCTTCTTTCCTCATTATGTGCCCCAGAAATGTCAACTGTTTCTTTTTTATTCTAATTATGAACATTCTTTTTGTTTTCATTTTTCTTAAAACTTCCTCGTTACTCACATGTTCAGTTTATGGTGTTCTCAGCAACCTTATTTAGAACCACATTTCTGTCCATTTGGTGCCATATAGGAGGATTGATATTCAATAACAGTTCAACATTCTTCGTTTCTAACAAAATTTTACTGTTTCATAAAATTTATCTAACTTTTGGAAGGCCTCTTTTGTTATTCCAACACACATTTTGATTTCAGTGTCGCATTTTCAGTCCTCTAATAAAAAAAACACTTCCTAGATATTTAAATTTATGTGGTTGCTTGATTTTGGTGTCTCCAACTTGTAGTTCACATCTTGGGTTGTTCTTTTTCTAACAACCATACATTCTGTCTTCTTACAATTGATGTTTAGTCCTTTTCCTTTAATACCTTCTGTAGGAGTTATTGTAGTTATCTTTCTGCATCTGCTAACTATACTGAGTCATCTGCATATCTTATATTGTTAAGATTGTAGCTGCCAATACTGAATCTTGCTAGGAATTTGGACTTTAAAAATACACAAAAAAAAATAAAATATGCATTTTCAAATTCTCTCAAGTCTAAAAATAGACATAAAAGCAGTCCTAATGTCACCTCATGCAGATGTAGCATTAAGCACACCATCTTACTTTCTCAACTAATGGAAACATAACACAAAAATATTAAATTTTAGCTTTTATTTGGAGCCTATCTCAGGCCTATATAAGAATGAACCAAAATCCATTTGTGGTACTTACAGAAAGCACATACTGGAGCACACATAAGACAACTCACAGCAAGCATACACAAGAGTACATATGCAAACATTTGTTTTCCCAAATTTTATTTCTCTAGACTTTTTACAAACTCTCTCTAACCCTTCTAATAACACCATTTCTCTTTTTTACTTAATTGTCACCATTGCTGTTATTAGATTTTATTAAAATTTGCTCAGTGATGTTTTATTTTTCATTTGGAGCATGTGAAGGATCATTCAGTCTTCCTTTCTCTCACCTGCTGTTGGCCAAAACATCACCTTCCCTTTCCTTTAAAGGGAATTAGCAGTAAACACCTTCATTTTACCATCAAAACAACACCAGCAACAATCAACAGTAGCTCATGCAACAACTTCTAATTCTCTCAGAGTTGTCACATTGTAAAGTTTGAATTAGTCCAGTGAGAAAACACATCCTTATCTTACACCCTTTGTATTTTGGGGCGTCTATTTCTTTAGCAGTATCAAGACCCCCACCAAAAAAAAAAACTGCAGTTATAACTATTGAAGAACTGGTATAATTATAAGCAATCTATTTCTATCATTCATTTTTGGCACAAAAAACTATTCTCAGATAATATTTTTGCATTGGTTTAGTTTTTGGATAGGTTTAAAATCAGCATTTTTTTTTTTTATTTAAAGAGGTGCTGTTCCTAAAAGCTCCTTATTGACTAACCAACAATAAGAATTGATTCATCAGCCTTAGACACTTTATTAATTTATGATGTTTTACAAAAAATTTGTTGCATGACTTCTATTAATGCAATTTGATCTTTTTCTTTCAGGCATTGGCTTTAACAAAGATATTGGACAACATATCTTAAAAAATCCACTAATTATAAAGACAATGGTTGAGAAGGTACTTCATCACTATTCATTTTGTTTTTTTTTTTTTGTCTCAAATTTTTAAATGCATCTTAAAAATTATTCAAGTGGAATAGCAAAGTATTAGATATATTTTGTCTGAATTTCTGGGATGAGGAATTATTATTTAAAATATTTACATGTAGACTATTGTCCTTATCTTTGTTGTTTTTATTACCATGTTTTGGCCATTGTGCCCTCCAGCCTTCATCAGGTGTATGTCAATTCAAGTAACCTACAAGGAATTCTGAACTGAAGCCCTTATTTAATCTATGGGATTTGATTGTCCTCATTCCACTGCCTATGTTTAGGGATATCTCATCTAGTTCTTATAGTTCCCACAAAACAATAGCCTAGTTGGTTCATGAATTTGGTGACATAGTAATTGTGAGTTCAATCACTGGGCCAGTCAGTATGTACTTGGATTCAGTGGAAACAGGACAAGCAATAACTGAGTAGTACTAAAAATAAGGACTAGATGAGATATCCCTAGACAGTCTACTCTCATAAATTAAATAAAGGGTTCAGTTTGGAATTTTAAAAATTTTTAAATCATTTCACCTCAAGCAAGGCAATAATACCACTAAGACACATGGGATTACTGGGAGTGAAAAAGAATGAGAAGACATTAGTGAAGAGAAAGGACAATAAAAAACAAGATTCAGGAAGACAGATGATGACGATTAGTGTTGCATTTAATCATATACAGAGAAGGAAAGAGAAAAGAAAGAGGAGTTGGACTAATATTAGATAAACAAGATGAAGTGTGTTTTGCAGTACTGGCAAAATGAATGAATTTTTCTGGTGAAACTTAAAAGGAATCCATTCAATATGGACCTGCATCAGAAAGCACCAAGAAAGTAGTAGCTAAGTTTAACAGCACACTATGAAATGCCAAATAGCAGAGCAAATCACAAGAAATTATCATGAGAGGTTTAAAAAGTAGAATTGTGTTGAATTGGTCAGTATGGACTTGGATCATTTAATGAACATAGAGAAAAATAGGTTTGTTGGTATGTAGTGAATGGTCAAATATTAAATAGTTGTTTTGAAGAACACCAGAGACACCTATGGACATAGATAAACCCACAATGAAACAGTAAAAACAAATAAGCTACCTAACCATCAACAAATGACTTAGTGTTATATAGGAATAAAGTGTTGTTGCCGACACTGGAGTTTGAACACAGATCACAGAGAGCAAACACAGGCAATCCCATTTTGAATAAGTAGATCACGTAATGGTAAAGGAAATATGGTAATTAGTGTGGTGTCTAAGTGATCACTATCTTTCTGGCTCTTATAATCATTCTGTAATGAAATAGTGTTAGATGCTTCAGGCCTGAAGATTGGGTTTAAGGATGTAGCAGACTGTCATCACTGGATTCCTTTTATCTATCACTTTTGTTATTAGATATCCCACACTGTGATAGTTTGTTACTACTACATCTAAAACAATAAAAGACTTAGGCAATATTAAACAAAACAAGCTTATATATATATATGTATATATATATAATAATTTGAAAATTTATCTGAATTTTAATTTTTGTTAAGGACTTTTTGTTTAGTCTGGTTTGCTTATAATTTTCAATGACAAAATCTTGAAATCTTTTTTGTTTTGTCAGGCTGGAATACGAAATACAGACACTGTATTTGAAGTTGGACCTGGAACAGGAAATATGACAGTAAAATTATTAGAAGGCAGCAAAAAGGTTGTTGTTTTTTATATTCTCTTTATTACATGCAATTTGTGAGAAATAGATTAAGAATTTTTTTTCTTCAAAAAGATCTTTAAAAAAAAACATGTTTTTCTACACTTACTTTTCATAAAAACATGAAATTCTTTTAAAAGAATGTCTTTTATCATGGAAAAATAACAATTTCATTGCCTCATTTATTAGCTGAAAGCAATATTTCTAAAATATTTTCTTCATACAAACAGGAGTAGATTCTCATCTGATCTTTTTATGCAAATGTCAACCAAACAGAAATCATATGAATCAATGCTATTTATTCAACAAAGAGAAAAAAGAAACTGAGCTTAAAATATCAATCTGTAAGTTTTTATGTACATGAGCCATGCATTTAGAATAAGATTAATTCAAAATTTTATTCAAACAATTCAACTCCTCAGTTATGTTCTTGATGCTGTTACTGCAATGTCTCATTTGATCCAGTTTTCATTCCACATCAAATTTTGTAATAAAGAAAAAAGACTTTTATTACATTTATAACATCCTATACAAATATGGAGAAAGTATACATGGGAGAAACCAGCAGTTTTCTTATCCCCATCAGTCCATAAGAGATTTCACTTGTTAAATCCCTGGAGTCCTGATTGAGTTGTCAAAAAATCTGAATGTTATGTTAGTTTCAAATGAGACTAAATTCAGCCTCTTTAGTATTATTGGTAATGAGATATGGTCTTGGATATTTATTATTGTGGGTTCATTCAATGGCACTCGGACTGTAAGCACATGAAACTTGTAGGGGCATTTGGGCACTTCCAATTAAAATCTGATTTGAGCAGCATAAGAAAGCCATAGATAAAGGTGAAGTACAAAAATATCTGGGATGATAGATCTGGAGAGAAAAGGATACTAATTACCCTCTTTGTGATGAGGTTTGGATTATCAACAGGGTCTATTTCTGGAAATTGAGAAATGTTGTAAGAGGCAGCCAGGTGCATAAGTTAGACTAATATAGATTTTATCAAGATATAATAAACAAAGTAAACCAGTGTTGGTTTTCAATAATAATTTTATAATCGGATGTAGGTATGTCAAAATACAGAGACAGAGTCAGGGTATGCTAACCTCAATAGGTGTTAACAAACGAAGACTTTTTTTTTTACTGTCCGCTGTGGTCGTACTTAATCGGCAACCAGTCCGTCCATTATCGTGAATGGGAAGTTGGGTTATATCATCACAAACACCTCCCCCGAAGCTGAAATTCTCCCTTTTGAAAATTTCTGCTTCTAATGTCGTCTTCTTTTTGGATCCGGACTAAAACGCTCCACTGGTTTTCTTTCCTGTGTGCTCCTTCTTTTAGTCGTCACAATTAGATCCTTTTTTGGCGAAGATAATTTCCGCTTTTCAGCCCGTAAGGCTGGTCCATGCGATACAGGTTCAAATACACTATTGGGTAGTGTCATGTTAAAAGCATCGCATAACACTTCCATCGGAATTTCTTCTTCGCTTTTTTCACTTTCTTCACCATATCGTGGTCTAATCTGATTGATGTGTCTTTTACACGTAAATTTTTTTACTTTTAATCGTGTAGACCACTTTACCAATCCTTTTCTGGATTATGCCATCCATCCAATAGCTTTTTCCACTTTTAAAATTTAAAAAAAAAACTTTGTCTCCTGAAGTGTATTTTTTTATGTTGACTTTTTCCTCTTTCTTAGCAACTTTTTTTGTTTTGATAGGGTAACAATCTATCGAAAATTGATCTAATTTTCCTTGCGAACATAATTTCCGCCGGTGACATTTTCGCATCGTTGTTCTCATTAGGAGTTACCCTATAGATTGCTAAGAACTTCTGAATAGTTCTTTCTTCCGTGTCCATACCTTTATTTTTACGTAAAGCACGTTTAAAGGTGTCAACAAATTTCTCGGCTTGACCGTTCGACCTGGGATGATACACTGGTGTAGTTATGTGTTCAATGTCTAAGGCAGTACAGAAATCCTTAAACTCCATACTTGTGAACGCCATACCATTGTCGCTAACCAATGTCCTGGGAACCCCGAAACAACTGAAAATTTCATCCAATGCACTGATGGTGTTCCTAGATGTAGGATGCTTGCACTTGACTACCTCAGGCCATTTCGATAAAGAGTCCACCAATATCAAATAATAGTACCCATTAATTGGTCCAGCATAGTCTATATGTAGACGTGCCCACGGCAAATCCGTTTTCGGCCAAGGATTCATTTTGACCGGAGGTGCCCTTGCAGCCAATTGACAACCTCTACATAGTCTTACAAAACCTTCAATATCCTTGTCCATTCCTGGCCAGTATACGTAACCACGCATGAGTGATTTCATCCGAGACATTCCAGGATGACCGGTATGAAATTCTTTCAGCATATCTGTACGTAGAGATTGAGGTATAACAATTCTATCTGCGTACATCAACGTGTTGTCGCAAATTGAAAAAGGTGAAATCTGAGTTCCCTTTTTCTGTCTTTTGTTCCATCTCGTCTGGTTCCTTAATTTCACAATATAGTGATCTTTTTCCGCTTCTTTTTTTATTTGGTCCAAAGTTACCGGCAATTCCCTGATTGTATTCAACAAGAGACCTGATATTTCTTTTTCCTCAGTTAATGCTGCTATAACCGTCTCTTCTAACATTTCTTCATTTTTTGGAATCAGCCTTGACAATCCATCCGCATGCCCATGTTCTTTAGATTTGACGTATTCCATCCTAAAATGGTAATTAAGCAGGGTTACACCCCATCGCCGTAAGCGATTAGCTGTATGCGTAGGAATGCCTTTTTTACCTCCAAATATTGTAAGTAACGGTTTATGGTCCGTTTGAAGTACAAATGATCTACCATGTAAAAAGCGATGGTATTTTTTAACCCCGAACACAATCGACAAAGCCTCTTTCTCGATCTGGCTATAATTTTTTCAGCCGGAAGAAGAGTCCTCGACGCGTGCGCGATCGGTTTAGTAGTGCCATCTTCATATTTGTGTAGCAGTGCAGCACCCCTCCGTACAAACTTGCGTCAGTTGCCAGAATGATCTCTTTCTCAGGATCATAATGTGCTAAGGCGAGATCTGAGAGTAGCATTTTTTTTATTTTCTGAAAAGCCGTCTCGCAATCTTTTGACCAAAACCATTTCTTGTCTTTTTTTTTCAACAATTCGTTAAGGGGGCTCTTAAATCATACATTTTAGGTATGTAGATTGCATAATATTGTGCCAACCCCAGAAACGATTGTAGTTTTCGCAACTGTGTCGGGTGCAGGCATGTTCTTAATTGCATCGGCTCTCTGTGGGTCCGGTTTCCTGCCTTCACTGTCTATTACCTGTCCGAGGTATGTAATTCTTTCCATGAAGAATTTACACTTCTCGTGGCTTAATTTAAAACCAAAATCTTCTAGTCTTTTGAATATCGCTCTGATGTGCGTTTTATGTTCTTGAACATTCTTACTTTTGACTAGAATGTCATCTAAATAGGCGGTACCAAACTCAAGGCCTGCCAGCATAGTGTCCATCACCTGTTGAAACAAAGCTGGGGCGACCTTTAAGCCGAAAGGAAGCCTATTTAGCTTATAAATACCTTTATGTGTATTTATACACAAATATTTTGAGCATTCGTCACTCACTTTAATCTGCAAGTATCGTCAGACAGGTCGATTTTGAAAAAAATCTTCCCACCATTCAATTTTGAAAAAATATCTTCTGGTGAAGGTAGTGGATAACTGTGATTTTTAAGGCAATCATTTAACCCTGTTGAAAAATCTGCGCACACTCTTATTTTTCCGTTTTTCTTCTTAACATAAACTGTGGGCGAGGCCCAATCCGCATGGTCAACCTTAGATATCACTCCCATTTTTTCAAGCCTTTCCAATTCCTTATTAATTGTGTCTAAGGAGGAAAAAGGAACGTTTCTCTTAGGTTTAAAAATTGGTTTCACATTTTCCTTGAGTTCAAATTTGACTTCCGTCTTAGTACATAAACCCAATCCCTCAGAAAAAACTCTGGGATATTCTTCTTTTAATTCATTCATGAATTTTTCATTTTTAATACTTTTTTGTTTTTCTGCACTGTTTATTACGTTGCAAAATGAGTTAATCGGGAGTTCAAACAAATCAAAAAGTACTATCCAGTCTATTCCAAAAAGACATGAATTAATCCCTTGGATTACATACACTTTCGTTTTTGCAGTCTTGCCACATAACGAAATATCGCACTTTAATTCTCCCTTAAAGTTTAATTTCTTTCCTGAAACCCCTCTAGCGTTTTTTTTTGGTTTCAGATAATTTAGGTCTTCCAATATTTTTCCATGTTTGTTCATCAATGATGCTTATGTCTGAACCAGAATCCAATAGGAAAGTAATTGTATGATTATTTATACGTACATCTACGTACTTTCTATTTTTACCTTTCTGAATTTCTTTTTCTGATAATACCAGGCTTACATCTTGTAATTTCTTTTTTTTTGCGGCAAACCGAATATTTATGCCCTTTATTTTCCGCACGATTGACAGAATTTATTTTTGTACCAACACACGTCTTTGGTATGATTTTTTTTATTTCCGCACGATTGACAGAATTTATTTTTTTGTACCAACACGTGTCTTTGGTATGATTTTTATTTTTTTACCAACACGTGTCTTTGGTATGGTTATTTTTTCTCACATTTTTCTATCTTTTTGGCTTTTGAGTTTTTTTGAGTTTTTACGTGTCGAACATTAGCAACACTTTTTTCCTCAATTTGTGTATTATCCCTTTTTACGTTTATGAGACGTTGGCATTCTTCGGTCACCCTTTGTAATGTTATTTTCGAGTCTTGCTCGACCATTGTTAATATTCTCGACCTAATTTCTTTATATTTAGGATCAGTTAGTCCTTGAAGAAAAATTAGACACTTGAATACATCTTTGGTTATTTCTTCCAACTTGAATTGTTCAACCAGAGAGTTCACTGTTCCCGCGTATGCCACAAAAATCCTCGTTATCTGCTTTAACGATGTTTAGGCATCTGTATCGCGTGTGGAACAGACTATTCCTTTCGTCAAATATTTTTGACAGAATACTTAGTTTCTTCAAACGAAACTTCTGGCTTTCTGGGCAATATCAAGTTTGAGTACTTCCTATTCTCGTTTGTCCCTAGTTTCTGGACTAATAATGTTACTCGTTCCTCATCCGACCAATGTTGACATCTCTTGGTAAATATAGTTTGAAACGTTTAAAGTATGCTGGAAATGTAATGCCCGAATCAGGATCATAAATAAATTCGGATAATGAATTTGCTATTCCTTCGGCAGAAAAAAACAGTATTTTTTTTCTTTCTCCAGTCGCCTGTTTCAGAATTTTTTGAGACTTTTTTGCTGTTGCAATATTTGTTGTTGTAAGTCTTGGTGCTGTTTTTTTGTTGTTGTTGTAACTCTTGATGCTGTTGTTGTTGCTGTTGCAAGCTTGTACACAGCATTTTAGTCATTTTCGACTAATTGCTCCATCCTGACTTTATTTAGAATTCGGCAAAAAAAAAATTTTTTTTTTTTTTTTTTTTTAGGTTAACAGACAATTTACAGCCGTAATATTTTTACAACCCGTAATTTTTACTTGAATAATCAATTATTAGACCGGCTCGCATTTGAGTCGCGGTTCAATATATATTTTTCAAATCACAATTTAACAGTAAAAATTTTCTTACTTTTCAAAAAAGTTTCCTTTTGACTTGTGACTCCGTTTTCCAAATCCTAATCGGCGTCAACAGATATCTTTGACTTGCGAATCTGCTTCGAAATCCGTTCAGCGTAATATATATATATATATATATATATATATATATATATATATATATTATTATATATTTTTTTTTTTCAGGTAAGTACGTTGCACAATCCTCGTCGCCAGCTGTTATATCTCGTGCAAGATATAATAAACAAAGTAAACCCGAGTGTTGGTTTTCAATAATAATTTTATAATCGGATGTAGGTATGTCAAAATACAGAGACAGAGTTAAAATTCATGTACTAAGAAATATTGTCTTTATTATGGTGCATTCACCAAAGAAAAAGTTCTTTAAATTGAAACTGCTCTAAAAATTTCATATATATAGATTCAGGATAATCATGGAAACATTACTTTTTAAAAACATAAAGTACATGATAATTATTTAAAAAATAGGCCCAAAAAATAGTCATTATTTTCATGTATATGGTTTGCCAACACAATATGAAACATTTGTGTTATTGAAAATGTTGTTAATAACTTCTAATTATTATTTTCTGATTTTTCCATTTTTTTATTATTAGGCCTCTCTATAACAAACTGCATTTAATTGTTGGAAATGTTCTAAAAACAGATTTACCCTATTTTGATATATGTGTGGCAAATCTTCCTTATCAGGTAAGAAACCTTCAACATTATATCATTTCAGTAAATGTCTCCCTTGTAACTTTATTTGACTTATTACTTTTAGTTAAAGACAATTCTGCATTAAAACTATCTCTACCCACCATTAGTTTAAATTTTTTAAAATTTCTATCTGAATTTCTAGTTATCATTATTTACATTTACAGTCAGACTAATGTTCTCATCTTTATTGTTGTTATCACAATGTTTTACACATTACGCTTTCTGATTTTCTTGAGGGATCTTTTGATCTGGATAAGCTTCAAGGAATTTCAAAGTGAAACTATTTTTACTTCAACACATTTCAATGTTAAGTTGAACTTGTGCTTAATTTCCTAGAAACTGATTTAATTTAAGCCATAATGTGGGATCTTTATAAATTGACAGAACTAATTTCAACAATTGCACTTCAGAATTATATTTTTCTTAAAACGGTTTCTCTCTCCAAGGTTGGGGGTTTGTAGATTAATTTGAGTAAACTTCATTATTCTTTTTGTCTTCAAATTTCTTCTTGCAGTTATGACAAGTAATATTGCATTTCCTAGCAAAAAATCCATTAGGCATCTTTGACATTCATTTGTTCTTATAAATCTCTTATAATTGTGTTGTATAAAGTAACTCTGGTAAAATTTGTATTAATTTTGAAAATTTTCATATTTCTGTGGGTAATAACTTTGAAAATAGTCGTTAATTTAAACCTGCACTTCTCATTCAAATTTGTAATTTAAAATGCTTATTTATCCTGTTACTATAAGACCTTTATAAATTGCAAAAATATCTGCTATATTTTCTACTGCTTTTTATTAATTTATAGAATACAACTCAAGGTCATGCATAAAATTAAGTATTAAACCTTAAAATTTCTTACTTTTCCTTCTCAGATATCTTCACCATTTGTATTCAAATTATTATTACATCGGCCATTTTTTAGGTGAGTTTTTGCACTGTTCTTTTTATAAAGTCTATCAACCAAATCTGAATATTAATTAATGGATTGTGTAAATTATTTAACCTACTGTTGTTAAAAATATGCTAATGTGCCAAAAGTTATGAGATATGGGTGCCTAATATTGTGTAGGACCTCTTTTTATCTGGCAAAGTTGCGACATGCTATGGTATCCATAAGTAGTTGGAAGACGTTTGGAGAGATGTCGAATCATGCTGTCTCAATAGCTGTCCATATTTCCCTGATGATTGTAGATGCAGGATTTTGTATGCAAATAGATCTTCCCACCAGATCCTGTAAATTCTCAATTAGGCACATGTTAAGTAAAACTGATGGCCATATATATTTGAAATTTTCAGAATGCTCTTCAAACCAATTTTGGTCCCAAAGACATGAATTAGCTAGCTGGAATTGCTTGTTGTTCTTATGGAACATAAAGACCATGAATGGTTGCATAAAACAGTGGTGTAATGTAGAAGTCACTGGTCAACAAGATGTTTTGAGGGAGGATCCAATCTAGGCCAGGTGAATACACCACAAACTATGCATGGTGGCTTATTGACAATTGGGGTCCATGGTTTCATGGCGTCTGTGCCACACCTGAAATCTATTGGCACCTTGCGCACATGAATACTGTTAGATTGGCAATTAGGTCTCCTCATTTTACTGTTGAACTAGTTCCATGTAGTAACTGTAATTTCTATTCTAATAGTTTCTTTACTTGCCTTTGGAACTGTCTTCCAGTTTCTTGCTTCCCTACCACCACCTACAATCTTAAAAAATTTAAATGCAACATAAATTGCAATCTTATGTTTTCCTGAATCCTGATTTTTATAGTACTTTCTCCTCATTAATGTCTTATTTTCTTTCACACTCAGTAACTCCCTGTGTCTTAGTGGCATTATCATCTTGCTTGGGGTGAAATGATTAAAAAAAAAATCTGCTCAAATATCTGGAGTTCATCAAACACCTCATATTTCTTGTTCTACTGCATCCAATGAATGATGTCACAATCCCAGGTGAGGCACTGTGCCTTTTGTCATGGTGTTAACAGAGGCATCTAGGTGGGTCTTCTGCTCCTATATTCTATGGAAGCTAAAGTATGCTGAACTGACCTGCTGGATCTACATCTGATATTCCCTGTGGGAATGATTAATGTGGAAATGATTTGAATTAATGTTGCTTGTCTGTTACCAGGTGTTTTTGGTCACAATCATTAAGGACCTGCAATTGGCCACTGTAATGCTTTCTATCATTCAGATATTCCTTGTACACACATGGCAACATAGGTATGTCAAAGGTATGTCAAATGTCCCCATGATTTCAGAAAGGGATACACCTATCTGTCCGGTACCTGTTATCAATGGCTTATTTGATAATTCATGTTGCTTTATTATGAGCAGCATAGTTTGTATTCACAATGACTCAACAGAAGTGCGAGCAAAATTGATAAGATCTGAGTATTTTCATGACATCAGGGTTTAGTGGCACCACTTACCAATACCTCTACATACTATTATCCTGTTACTTTGGGCACATCAGTGTATACACATTTAAAAAACTTTTTTTAATTTTTTTTATTTGTATGTTCAATATATATATATATATATATATTCCTGTTAATTAATGATAAAAAATATTAAACCAATTCATTGAAAGTAAAAAGACCAAACTGATATCAGAATGAATTTAAAACATTTGCCACTATTTTTTGACCCATAAAATAAATTAGTCGGATAATTATTCACATCTATTTTTTCTTTTCATTATTATCTGTACCAATTCTTATTTATTACTTTATTTTTATTGATACTCATGTCAACTATTTTTATTTTTGCTGTTAGTACTATTATAACATTTTTCAATTTTCTTCTCATTTGTTTCAGATCAGCAGTGCTTATGTTCCAGAAAGAATTTGGTGACCGACTGGTGGCAACACCAGGCAGCAAATTATATTGTCGTCTCTCAGTTAACACACAACTCCTTGCTAAAGTTAATCATTTAATGAAGGTAAATGTTTTTTTCTCCAGAATCTTTCTATGCATTTTTCCATAATTGCCATTTTCCTCGGGCAATTTCTCACCAATTGGACAACTTTTGCATCACACTGTGGTTCAATTCCCATTTGTGTTCATGTGAACTAAAAGTAGGAAAGACCTAATGTATGTTCAACAAAGAAGTGGAAGGTGAAATATCACCACATCAATAAAAGAAAACAAGAATCCCATTTTCAATATACTGACTTCTTTATTCATGAATTCCCCTGACATTGTCTGGTGTAAGGTGACATCTTTGCTGCTACTTCTGTCTTCTTTCACAACAGGCTAACAGAGCAGATCTTCCCTTTGGCCAGCTAGAATGCTGCTACTCTGCCCATCTCTGACTTTCACTGTCCCTCCCAACATTTTCACAGGTAGCTTGTGACTGGCTCTTGTCTAGAATGTAGCCTGACTATAATATCATGATCAGAATTCCTTACCTTCCATCTTAGTACCACTTGATCCTGAAAGTTTTCATTTCATTTCTTTTACCCTACAGGGGAAATAGGTAGAAGCTCTTACATCTTGATTTTATTGGTGACACAGTTGGTAGTCAATGACTACTTGTCATAAAATTTCCATCACTTCAGGCCCAGATAAAAATATTTACAGGCCATTTCACTCTGTGGTTGTCTTAAGCTAATTGAGCATGGACATATTGTGTGACAGCATCTGCTTCCTAGTGTGTTACTAATTCTGTCTCAAAAGTGTTATAAAATAAGACATATCTCAGCTGATTTACAGGCAAATACTCGAGCGCGAACCGGATGTAAACGGGACAAAGCCCCGTCACAAAATGACCATTATCTTTCTTTACAAATGTTCCCGACACACATGTTCCGGTCAAAAAATAAAATAGTATTTAAAGTGCTTTATTTTTCGTCCAATAAAAATGCTTCCCTCATAATTATATTCGCTTCGTTTTTCGAGCGTGTTAAGCCATAAAAAAACGCTATAAAAGGGGTCACATGGAAGTCAACAGGCAGTCCACAGGTGCCCAGGATAGAGACCTGTCACATTCAGCTGCTGACAGCAGGGGAGCGTCAACCACCGTCAACATGTGTGAACTACTATGAGAGATTGACCTAGATCCAAAGCCGGCTTATGAACTTTACCACAAGGTAGCTGTCCCAAACCCACACGTTTCTGTTGAAATAAACCACGTAAATCTATTTCTGCTGTTGTCGTATTTCTTTCTTGCAACCATACACTTGTCTATAACAAAAGCGTTTATGTAGCTTTGTGGGTGATGAATTATTTTCCGCCCTACAATTCCCTTCCCACAAGCAATGTTGCTAGCTTCTCACTATTTTCATGATGGACATTCAGATAAGCTACATACCTTAGTTTCACCAGTCCTGGTGAAACTAAGGTATGTAGCTTATCTGAATGCCACATACATAGTTGACTCGTCTTTATTCTTTTTGCATTTCATTGATAAAGATGAAGTTCCATCCAGACAGCTTCTTGCCCAGACCTGTCACATTTCAGTGTTGGGGGGGTTGTTGAACATACATTAGGTCTTTCCTACTTTCAGTTCACACAAACACAAATGGGATCCCCTTTGATCAAAATGAAATATACTTATCCAAATACATTGGGTAATGTAGTTTCAGAATATAGATGGTTATGAGAGTCTATCTCCAAAACCCTAGGAGTTCAATGAATTGATGTGCAGATTTCAACATTCATATGACAGCTGAATTATTGCAACAAATATGTATTGGAAGGCACTACCCACTGATTGGTGATTTCTTGCTCAACTTGACATCCATGTTATCTCATTTTGATCTTGACGGTGTGACCTTCATCTTCTGGGTTTCTCCTATATTTTAGATAGGAGTCACTCCCTTGTTCAAATTTAAAACAAAGGGAAAAAATTTTCAGTGAGGGAATTTGCACATGATCTATTATTGTACATAATTAGATTACAATAAAATTTGTATTTTATATGAATACTACCTAATGAAAATTGAGATGTAGTAGAGTAGGGGGACCATGTATCAGTACAACAACAAATGTAGTGTTGTTCAATAAAAGTAAAAAAAATGTTTTAAGGAGAGTCTTTATGCAAGTGTCTACTTATCTTGAAAAACCACTGAAGAATATTTTATTTCCATTTCTTGGCTTTCACTGTCATTAACTGTGTACATATGTAGATGAACCATGTTAAATATTTAACTTGGACTCTATCTTATGGAAACATCAACAGATAAACCAAATGTGTGAAAAGACTAGAGAATAAGTTTTGGCAAATTGTTATATTGGAAAAAAGAAACAAAACAGAGTGAAAAATAACAAAGAAAGTAAAATAAATAGATCCAGCCTTGATATTAACCAGATATTGAACAAGTGATAAAAAATTGGATAAAGTAAACCAGATGAGGTTATCAGAGGAATAAGTTATGCACAAACAAATATTAAAAGAAATAATGGGGAGTGATTGAGTTTAGAACAGGGTTAACAGCCAAAGTAATATTTGATTCTTGTCTGTAATTCCTGAGAAAAATAAGATGAGATTTCCAGATAGAGCAGTTATTGATTTTAGGTGACATTTGCATAAACAGCATATTGTGTAAAGCAATTAATCTCTCATCTAGAATCTAAATTTTTGTAAGAACAAAATGTTAATAGTGTTTGGAACAGGGTGCTTCAGTCACCACCTCTGCTTATAAAGAAGTTCTGAGATGTAAAAAAGAAAATCACTTTCCTGAGAAATACACATTCCCTAACCTTAAGCTGCAAGCCATAAAAAAAAAAAATATATATATATATATATATATATATATATATATATATATATGCATACAAGTTGAAATGTTATGGTATTTCTTGACAAATTTTTTATCTGATTCAGTCTTTCTTATCAAATTGCGAAATGAAAGTTGTCCTGAATAGCCACTCTTCTAGATCTTTCTGCAGTAATGCAGGTCTTTCCCAGGGTTCTATCCTTGAACCCACACTGTTCCTAATTTTCACCAATGACCTTCCTGACGGTATCAGTTCTCAACTCTGTATCTATTTTGATGATACAACTATTTACTCCAATCTTAACGGTAAGCCTGATTAGTTCAATAAAGTCAAATTGGCAGCTAATCTCAAAAATGACCTACAATCTGCTGTCAACTGAGGTAATGAATGGCTTCTTAATTTTTACACCTCTAAAACAAAACTGCTCTCATTTAATCATCTGAGAGACTTCTTTTCTGTTTTCTATCAACATGGCTGATGCTAACCGCCAGCGTGACTCATGCCTATTTGGGTTAACATTTTTTGTTGACATGAAATGGAAACATTATATTGAATCAATTGCTAGGTCTGTTGCTAGGAAAATTGGTTCGCTATATCATACAAGATAATTCTTCCATCTTACAAATTTATAAGTCTATCTTAATACTTGCTTTGAATACTGCTGCCACATCTGGTCTGGTGTGCCTGCTATATATTTAAAGATTCTTGATAAAATCCAAAGATTCTGCAGTGTTATTGTCTTAACCTGTTATCTTGCCTTCACTCACTTTCCTATTCCTTTAATATAGCTTCCCTGTATAGCTTTCTATAAATATTTTCATGGTAATTGTTCTGATGAACTTTGCTTTATAGTACCTAGACTTTATAAATTTAAGTGCAGTACTAGATTTGCAGCAAGGTTTCATCAGTTTACAGTTGAAATGGGTGGATGTAACTGTAAGTTCTGTGTTAATAGTTTCTTCTATTGAACTTGTCACTTATAGAAATATCTCCCCTGCTTCTAGCTTCCTAGTCAGTTTTGGTCTTAAATGTAATATCAATTGTTATCTTCTGTCTTCTTAATTCTTGTTCTTTTATTATTCTCTCTCCTTAATAGTATTTTCCTTTCTTTCATTGCTTCGCTTGGGGTGAAATGATTAATATATATATATATATATATATATATATATATATATATATATATATATAATGAAAAACATATATATATAAAATTTTCTCCATAGTGAACAGTTGTCTATATCTATACAGAGGTATTTGATGATCAAGAGTCTCTCTTTGACATCTCCCCTAGTAGAACCCAGAGGAACGAGGAAACAAAATTGGTACAGAGCCTATGGGCATCTAGCTATCAAAAAGTTGAAAGATTAGTATCAAAACATCATTTCAAGTGAAAAATCCTCTTGGAATATTTAATATCTAATTACGTAATCCAATATGAATTTTAATCTGCATTAATGTTGTTATTTTTTTTTTTTTTTTAAGGTTGGCAAAAATAATTTCCGTCCTCCTCCAAAAGTAGAATCTTGTGTGGTGAGAATTGAACCTAAAAATCCTCCCCCTCCGATCAATTTCCAGGTCTGTACAAAATGCTTCATTTTTCATTTTTAACTTTTTAATATGGCAGACTGTTACACATCATACATCACTGATCATTTCTTTGGTCTAGAGATGAATATTCCATCAATCTTGAAGTTTATTTTGAGCAGATATTTATTCGCCTGAAATTTGTTACAGCATGAGTATCAGATTTTGATTACTATTTAATATTATTGTAATATACTATATTTATTCTCTGCCAACTTTGGCAGTGAACCCTCAGTTTATTTTATATTCTAAGCTTTTAGCTTATATTTTATTATTTGTGTGTGTGTGTGTATGTATATATATATATATATACAAGGTCTGGGGCTGTTGCTATGGTAATGGAGCTAAGGTACACAGAGTAAAGCTGCTTGTCACTGATTGACCTGGAACTCTGTTGTGCATACATACTATGTTATGACATTCTCACTCACTTCTATTGTTTATAGCAGTGCTTGAAAGGAAAATATGTGTGTGTGGTTGTCTCACCATACCACAGAGGCTTCATCAGTGACCATGGCTTGTGGAGCAGTTTTTGGCCTACTACAACATTCCCTAAATCTGACAACAACCAGATCTTGCTCCTTGCAACTTTTTTCCTCCTCAAAAATCAAATCTCATGTGAAAGCAACAAGTTTTCAAGACATCAAGAAAATCCAAGAGAATGTAACAAGGTAGCTGCTTGCTATCCCCAAAAAATGAGTTCCAGAAATGCTTCCATCAATGAAAACAATGCTGGAGAAAGTGTGTGGTTTCTTCAAAGATTAAATGCCAAATTGATATGTGTTGTAGTTTTCTTTTTATAGCACACCATCCTCGGTACTTTCTGATCGGGCCTTGTGTGCGTGTATATATATATATGTATGTATATATATATATATATATATATATATATACTCTGATCGAATAAATTACAAACATTATGTCTGCTTATTTTTATCATAATCCTTTCATATTTACGGATATTTTTTCCATATATTACAATCAAATGAGGCAAGAAATGCACTGTAACAGTAAAAATCACTTTTATTTTTCAAGTATTTTCAATCTCTTTCTAAGATCATCATTAAGGGTGCAACAGAAAGAGACAGAAACTACTTGGGGAATAAAAGTGATTTTCACTGTTACAGTGCATTTCTTGCCTCATTTGATTGTAATATATGGAAAAATATGAAAGATTATGGTAAAAATAAACAGACATAATATTTGTAATTTATTCTATCAGACATACCTAAAAGAGAATTTGCTGCCTAAAACACACACACACACAGATATATATATATATATATATATATATATATATATATATATATATATATATATACACACACACACAGAGTAATAAATAAAGTTAGAGTTCACTTGTCTTGTGCCTACTCAGTTTTGTGGAGGTTTTTGATGACACACAATCTTTACTATTATTTTATGAGCACTATTATTTCTTGATTACCTATATTTGCCATTTTTTTTTCTTTTTTAAATCACTTTCCTCTGTTTTATGTTTACTTGGACATGTGTAACATAACATTTATCAGCACAGATCAAGTTTATTTGTTCACTTGTAAAAAACATGAATCCATCTTTCTCTAGCTCTGTGTGAAAAAGTAAGGCATACTAAGCTCTCTTGCTTATTATGCCTTGATGATAGACAATCTAAGACGAAAAACTGAGTTCAAGACCCCTGTAAAAATAATAGATCAAACTGGGTTCTTTAACCTTGGTCAAGCAACCAGTCTAGAAAAATAACTCAGAATTCAAAAACCAGCCTGAAGTGGGATGGGTTTCATCAGGCTGTCTTACCCTAGGCACACCAAGTGCTCTTACAGCTGCAGTACACATGTCACCTCAGTGACCCTAATGACTTGTGTTTGCATACAACATATTGAGTAAGAAACCACTGAGGAATATGGAGTCAGTCAGTTAAGTGCCAGATGTGATACGCATGAGTAATCATATCTCTTTCAATTCATGATTTACTAGGCAGTAGATGTTCCTACAGTAGGCTACTGTTTCTCTCTGCAGTAGACTGATACCCAAACAAGGCTATACGACCCAGTCTGTCCATCTATTCAACCCATAGAGAAGAAGAGATGGTATTTGTGTATAAGTAAATGTAAGAAACACGACTGGAATTCAAATGCGGCTCTCCAATTTCAGTTTTGTGAGCTGTTATCCATTACACCACCCACACATCCTATATAAAAGGATAAAGAGAGACATTTGTTAAAAAAATTAAGAAGAAAAATAGTTTTGCTGACAAGGAAATATTTGTTTTCTATTATGATCAGTCTAGAAATGGATGCTTCATATTAGATGAGCTAATAGATGATTTTTTTTTTTAAATATTTTACTACATGTATTTAAAATGTAGAAGCAGCCAGTAAATATGGATTTGACTATTTAGCCTTTATTTGTATACAGCATGGAGCAGGACTTTAAAATCAATTACTATGAATTATAATCTGAAAATCCTTTTCCAAACTTTTTTTCCCCTCTTTTCCACTCCCTGCTCATGTTCACAACAGACTAAAATGTTCAAAGAAATTTTCATTCACTACAAGTTTCTTATTTTTATGTTGTTTCTTCCAGGAATGGGATGCCATGATTAAAATCTGTTTTTCAAGAAAGAACAAAACACTTGGAGGTGCTTTTAGGTCAGTCTAAAGAGATTTTTATATTTCCAAACAATTTCTCTGAAGAATTGATGCTAGCTAAGCTAAAATGTTGTCCTTTTCACAAAATAATTGAACTTTGATCCCTGATTGTAATACACAAGGAAATTCAAGAAAATTAAGATTTAAAATAAAATTTTATGCTCAACAGTACACCTTAAAGAAGTAGACAATGACATGTAACATTAAGTAGCATGTGAATATAGAAATCTGTAGCATTTGCCACATCTCCCAACTTTGTAGAAGAATTTACTTATCTAAGTAGTAAGATCTCTAGCTGAAAAAGTGATGTAAACACACATATTGGTAAAGCCTGGGGTACCATTGACAAGTGTGAAAATCTAGACTTCCAGACAATATGAAAAGGAACCTTTTTCAAGCAGCTGTTATCTCTGTTCTAGTGCTCAGCATGAACCCTTACCTCGAAACTGGAATAAAGATTGGATGAAGCCTACACTCACATGGTAAGAGTGGCTTTGGGTGTCACTTGGAGACCAGTGATCAATTGTATGGTAACCTTCATCCAGTATCAGACATCATCAAAGAATGTAGAGTCAAATTTTTAGTGAAGTTCTTTAGTGGGAGCCTACACAAGGAAAAGCTAGCAGAGGGACAACAAGCCAACATCTATATCAAACAGATTTGTGATAACATTAACTGCATTCCATCTGACATGCCAAATATGATGAACAATAGAATTGGATGCAACAACAAGTCATAGGAATCCATGCAATCAGTGTGACCAAATTATGATGAATATATAATACTTTTCAGTCATCACTGTTGCCTGGTTTAGTTACGAAAAGGAAAAAATTGTTTAAAATCTTATATCTAAAGGATACAACATAAGAATATCTCCTGTTATACATGTTATACTTTTTGATTTAATTGTCTATTAAGAGTAACCCGACTCATTTGTTTGGAAGGAAAGCTTTTAATCCCTCCAGTTGTTCTAATAGTGTTGTGTTGTTTCTGTCTGAATAGTCCAAGTGTAAATGATAGAAGTTGTGTTGTGTTTGCAGGTTGAATTCTGTCCTTGACATGATGGAAAAGAATTACAAATTATACAGTTCAATGAAAAACCAGGTTGGTGGCTTTATTCCATTAGAAATGTTTTGCTCAAAATTTCAGTGGCTATATTCTCAATTTATATAATAGATGAACTACTGTTTATAACTCAGACTGAAATCATTTTTTATCACTTGTGTTTATACAATAATCTTAATGTAGGTACCTTAATGAGATCGCTAAAAAAGAGTATAGAATGATGAAAAAGATGCCAAACTTGACAAAAACAAAACTTTATCATCTAAATATTTATTATTAAGAGGATTGATCAAAGTATTTTTGGGATATTTTTTTTACATTTTTTAATTGTTCTAGCACGTCCAAAATTTTCGTTAAAAATCTTGTTTTTTTTTTTTTAGTCAGCAAAATTGACAGATAATCGATATCATGACAGCCATTGTTTTCCAATTTATAAAAAAAAAGAAAATCACAGTTTAAAATTCTTTTAAAAATCAATTATAATTTTTTTCAAAACTTATTTTAAGAAAATCAGAAATTATAATGTTTATTTAAAATATTTTGAACCAAGCTTAACTCAGTTTCTGCACCGAAAGGACATAGTTTGAAAATAAAACAAAGCAGGTCATAACCTTTCGTGTCACTTGACAAGGTGACAAAAGACATTCGTGACATTTTGATAGCTTACGTGAGGATAATTCCTTCTATGGAAGGAGAGATGTGAAGTTATTTAGATTTAAGTGAACAAATTGTTTACCTCGTTATTTTTAAGGAAAACTTTCAGCATTTAATTTTTTTATTTTTTTGTACCTAGCTTTCACCTTTATGTTTACGATGCTTTATGGAAAATATATTATAAAGAAATTAAAATAAGACTGTTGATAGCGAGATTAAATTTCATAAGAAAGGTATCTAATTAATTTATAGGTACTTTTCTTATGAAATTTTATCAGAAGTGTACATAAAATACAAATTTAAATTTCATAAGATGATACTGATACTTGTAGGTACCCTTTTCAGTTGAAATTGAAAAATCAAATTAACTTCTCCACACGTGTTTCACAAAAAATAAATCTATATCTCAAAAGGACATTTACGAAACTGAATGTGGCTTTTAACTAATTTTATAATATTCTAACAACTTAAATGTAAAAATCTATTATAATTAAAGAAATAACAAATAATTGTATTAAAAATTCAGTATTTAAGTTAAATACTAGACAGAAACTCAATTCACGTGACGTTTTTTTTTTATTGCATGCATGATACTTCCGGTCTTCCATAGATTTGTTATTATTGACACAAATTATATTTTTTTATATACTGTTATTCGTCAGTTTGTAAAAAGCTTTGGAAATTATAATCTGTAAATATATATCTGCTTAATAAAAACATTCATTAAATTTTACAAATTTTTCCCTAATTTTAGAAGAATTAACAACATAATGTAAAAATAATAAAATATTTCAGAAATAACAAATAATTGTTTTAAAAATTCATTTTTCATCAAAATATCTTTTTGATTTCATTGAAATAAATAAAAGCAATTAAAAGCTTTTGAAATTAAATAATATTTTTGTTTTATTGAGTTTTGTATGTTACAATTCAGAGACGATTTTCAGATAGAGGTGGTTTCCTGAAAACCTTGCGCTTTTAACTAATATAATCACTAATCTTCCCAAAATTGAAATTATAGAGTTTTCGTACAATTAGTTATGGCAGGGTAATACATATTAAAAAAAAATATATTTTTGCCATGACTTTAAAAAAGAAAAATATATTTATAAGTTCCATCATTTGTGAATAGTTTCTGAAAGTTTCATTAAAATCCGACAATTATTTTTATTTTTGCAAGATTTTCGAAATTAATGTCTGTCATACAGAAAAAAATGTGCTAAAATTTTATATGCTATTTTACTAGTTCTGGTGACAAAGAGAAACAAAGTTTTTTTTTTTTTTTTTTTAATCAAAATTTAGAATGTTCTAAGAAGGAAAAATTTTTAAAAATAATTAAAATATATTTTGATCTTTCCTCTCAATAATAACATAAATATTCAGACGCTAAAATTTTGTTTTCATCAAATTTGGCATCTGTTTCATGGTGCTATGATGTGTTTTTAGCAATCTCATGAAGGTACCTATCTTAATGTTTTTTATCAAAGTCTGTGTTTTCTGTCAATCTCTAGACAGGTATGCTATGTTAACAGTAGCTGAAAATTGGCGGCAATTGTTGAACAGTTTAAAATCCCACTTGTTTCAACATGTATTTTTATGAATTTCTGGAAAAGAATTCATCTCCCTTTACATCACATCAGTAGTTATCATGATCTAACTTAAAATCTTTCTTTTTCTAATCTCCAAAATGTGGACTGAGACTGTTTTAATCCACTAATCAAGTTCCAATAATGACATCTGTTGTCATACATAATGATTTTAAAATAAGTAAATGCAAAACTTTCAAAATATTATAATTTTTTTCAAAACTGAATTGAAATTTATACAAAGCATAAAAATTTTCCCAGTTCTCTTTAAATTGGATTGCATATGTCAGAAGTAATAGATAAGCAACATCTATAGAAAGTCTAAGGTGAAAGAAGATTGAATGCATGATCAAAGTTTTAGATTTAAGTTACTCTCTTGCAAATGTATGGATATTTTTTGTTCATTTATTTGTTATTTACAGATGGTGGATAAAGATTTTAATGCTAAAGAAAAAGTAACACAAATTTTACTGTCATCAGGATTTGAATCAAAACGTGCCCGAAATTTGGATATTGATGACTTTCTAAGGTTTGTAAATTTCAGTTCCTGGAATCTGATGTAAAGATTAAATTATATATTTTTTCCAAAATTTAAATTTGGCTTTTTTCTTCTTTTTTTAATTTAAAGCAAGCTTCTCAATTGTTTTTTTTTTTCCTTTCCTTGGTAGTTTGCTGTTGGCTTTTAACAAAGAAGGATTTCACTTCAGCTGATTCCTGTGACAGGTAAATAAAAAAAATTTGAAAATGATTAATGTTTTTCCTTTTTTTTTTCTTATATAATAAAACCAAATGGCTTTTTTTTCTACTGAGTTATTCAATTTCAGGTCATTTAAGCTCAAACAACTGCTGATCTGTCTGCAGAACTTAGTTGCCATTTCATTTGATTCTGGTTCACAAGACAGCAGATTGTGTGTGTTTAATTATTATCCATATATTTGATAGAAGCACTGGAGATTGTAATTATTTACTTCATTTGAATATTGTACAAATGAGCTTTTTTCTTTTTCCATTGGCATGAGTTTCTTATAGAATGAAAGTAGCTGGTTAAATACCAACATCTTGAATGATGTTCACCAAATTTAAACCAAAGAATTCTATTGCAAACAAAACAAAATATCTGACTTCTTTCTAAGTCAAATTAAGAATAGTTTATAAATGATAAATAAGTTTCTGTCGTTATCACATTTTATTCATGATGATTGAGGAGTCAGTTTAAAAACAAAATTTAGGCATAATTAATTCTTCCAGCTAAAAATAATTTTTCAAGACAAATGCAAAGTATCAATAATCACTTGTGAATCCAGAAATTAAAAATTGTTTAGGTAAATTGTTGAGTCTGAACTTATCAACTTTTTGAGACTTATAGGCTCTAATATTCCAATAATAGCAGTAAGAACTTTCTTGAACATTGCTTACAGCCACATCATATTGAAACACCAGTTTCCGTATGATCACCAATGTTGAGCCTGGTCAGTATCTAGATGGGTGACTGCTTATGAATACCATGTGTTGGAAGCTTGGATGTTCATGTGGTGTAATGGATAATGGCTTGGAATTGTTAGAGAGCTGAGTTATATTATAGTTACTTTGGAAAGGCATGAATCTACCTCTTCACTCCCCAGCTATGGGTTCATTAGTAAGACTTACATCACTAAATGATTATTACCTAAAAAAAAAAAAAATAAATAAAATTCTTACGATCTAAAAATATTTTCTGTCTTTAAATAACCCACAAAGGGTTGATAAACCATAGAAAACAAATCAGTCTCTTGAACATTATTAGTTTTTTTTTAATATTTTTAACTACAACTGACTTTATGGAAAACACTGAACTATGTCTCCAATTACAGCATTGATTTGGGTAACCTTCAAAGAATTTCAAACTAAACCTTTTATTTAATCTACAGGAGTAGATTATATTTGTTACACTGTCCATGTCTATATCTTTTTTTTGTACTGCTCAGTTATTGTTTGCCTTGTGTCCATTGAATGCAAGTCTGTACTACCCAGCCCTGGGATTTGAACACACAATTACTAGCACTAGAATAAAGCACTGGTTTGTGGATTTGATGGCATAATAATGTTCAATCACTGGAACAGGTAGTTCAAACTCAGTGGAAACAGCTTGCAATAGCTGAGCAGTATTTAAAAAAAGATTAGAAGATATCCTTGACATGGGTAGCAGAATGAGAATTCTCGACCCCCATAGCTCAAATAAAGGGTTCTGTTCAAAATTCCTTGGTGGTTACCTCAACAGACACCTGAAGATGGTTGGAGGGCACAATGTCTGAAACCTTGTGGTAACAAAAAGAAATATGAGGATAATAGTCTGAATATAAATAATGCACATCTTATTTCAAAAGATACATTATCAGTTAAGCTATGAAAACTACCAGTTAAATGCTCAAATCTAATAACTTTCGTTATTTTTTCCCTACTGTAAGCGACCTCCTACAATCCGGAATATGCCTTTAATAACCCACAATAGTTTAATAAGCCATATAAAATTATGAAAGCATCATGGGACAATCTTTCATCCAATAATAAATTAAAAGTAATGTATCAATATTTAAATTCATTTTTTTTTTTTTTTAAAAAAATAGGTCCTTGTTAGAGAAAAATGTAGATATGCGGCTGGTGTAATGGATAGTGGCTCGGAATGAGAAAATAGAGAGTGGAGTTCAAATTTCAGTCAGGTTCGTTACATTCACTTATGTGCAAATACCCTTAGAGAAAGGTATGAATTGATCTCATCCCCCTCCACATAAACACAGAAGTTAGTGGGACTTGTATCTGGAAAAATCATTGTTCATCTCAAAAACAAAAACAAAATTGATAATGCAATATTCACAAAGGGTTGATAAATCATAAAAGACAAATAAATTGTAGAGAAAAAAACAAGAAAAAAAACACATTTTTATGGTAACAGTGAATTTTATTTGAACATCATTGTCAGACAATGAAAATATACACATTTTCTATATTTCCACTGCACCTGTGACACATGAACAATGAAATAAAACAAACAGTAGAAATGATAAAATGAGATGGGAACGAGAAGACAAAAAATCCTTACTTTTTGGGCTTCGTTTTTAATAAATTTCTTGCAGCCCCACCAAACTATGACAGAAAGCTAATATAATTAATAAGGCCGATAATCCTCATCTACAACAGTTGAACTTTACTCTCCTCTAGAAACTTCTATGCAAGGCTCAGAAAATTACAATAAGGGGATGGGTGTTGAGGTGGTGCTAACAGTCACACAGTTCAAATGGACAACTATGGAACTTTTAGTGTTTTAAGGTTTCAACAATAACAATAAATTGAAGGTGGTGAAGTTAACAGAACAAGTAAGAATGATTAATAATACTTAATTAGACAGGTATGGGGGAATTTAAAATGAGCCAATGTTAAAAAGTAATTTTGAATGCATTTGGATTTTGTTTTAATACTGAATAAATAGAATGTTTCCTTTGCACATTATTTTTTAACTTTATACAAAATACCAACATTTAAAAAAATGTAAACAATAGAAAAGAAAAAAAACATTGCATTTCCTTAGATTTAACAATTGTATACATAGGAATCTAATCAACAATTTAAATAAAAAAAGTTAGTTCCACATAACTGTGAAAGTGACTTTAAATATTACTTCTAAAGTTGAAAGGTCATTTCTTAATATTTTAATAGAAGGCTTTTTTCATGTGAAAATAAAATTGCTATCTAAATCAGATGAAACTTAAAACATTTATAAGAAAGTTATAAGTATCATCAGCTTATTTTGAGATTCTCTCTAAAATGTGTCACTTATGAAAATCTTAAAATCAATTTCTACAGTAAAATAGAATTTATTTTATTACATGTGTTTCAATTCTTTAACACCAAATTTGTGTTTTTATAAGTACCAACATTTTTTGTTTTCTTGCAACATAGAAAAGTACAATAATCTTCTAAAATATTAAAAGAAAACTCTTTTGGCAATATCATAAAATTCAAATCTCATTTGCATCAGGAAATACATCAAATGTCCAGCAGTTGTGTAGACATTAATGATTGTATAGATTTGCAAGTTTTTTTTTGTTTTTTTCTTTTCTTCTAATCCCAATGGTTAAAATAGAACATACATCAGAACAATACCACACACACACACACACAAAACAAAAAAAAACAAATTGTCTGGGATTTTTTTTAACTGTTAATAATTAAATTAGAATAAGCTTGCTTGCTCATTAACATGAACTTTGTCAGTTTTGAATAGGTCAATAAAAAAAAAATTTGCTCATGGATAATTGGTCAGAGAAGTGTAACAAAATAAAAATAAAAATCTCTTCTTATAGACAAAATTTTTGTATGGAAAAAAAATCAAACGTGTTTTATAAAATCATACACAATACTAATTTTCTTCAACAAATCTATAACATTCAGTTGAGATTTACAAATGAAAGAAAATCCATTCACTATGTAGAAATGATTAATGCAGGACTTAGTTTGGCACAGAGCCACAAAAACCATCTTTGATTGCAACATAATGATCTCTGACAAACAACATATGAAGACTTCTACAAACACAGTCACAAAATATATCATCCTAGACTTGTGGAGTGTCAAAGTTGAAACAGAGATGAAATCTAACAAAGTATGAGAACCTAAGGGAAAAATATCCCAGAATTATTTTTTGAATATAACTCTTTTATAAGATACAACATGATAAAATGTAAAAGCAACCAATAATAGTCAACAGCTTCTATAAAACTAATTATTTAATGGTCTTTTATTATTATGTAACCAGCTGACACAACAAGTAATAATTTGAACTATAGAACTTGAAAATGTCAAGGCTTGACAGGGATGAAGAGAAGGGCTTTTTAGAGAAAAAATTACAGTAATTTGAATGTCTATGACAAAAGTAGTCTATGCCTCTTTCATAAAAATGTTTATTTCAGTATAGGCATTCAATTTTGGAAAATGAAAAGGATGTGGTTAATGAGAAGTGGAGGATCATGGATGGGACTCTGAAAAGAAAGGGGTTGGACTGAAGGTTGAAATTTGGTTATAAACAAATGTATGAAACACTGCATATTTATTGCAGAACTGTTCTCAAAGGGAGCTTCACAACAATAAAAAAGAAGTCATAAAAAAAAGAATATATCAAAAGAAAAAGCCAGCTGTTTTTTAAGGTAGTCAGAAACTCTGTCAATATCCAGAAATATAGCTTTGTTCTCATTCAGAAATGTCTATCTGTACCTACATTTATATCCAACTTTGCCCCTACAAATCTAGTAATAGTCTTACCTATCAATGTATCTTCATCTATATTAGCCTAGTTCTTAACTACATTCAAACCATTCTGGTTATTTTATCCTATCAAAAGCAAATACCTGGCCCCTTGCTACAAAAATATTTTAGCCTTTCTCCAGATAATCATTCTTAAAATAGATAACATTCTAAAATAAATTTTTAAAATTGTAACCTTTTCAAAGTGAAATTCCCAAAGTTTTACCCAGTAAGTTTCTGCTTATCTTCAAGTAAGCATAAACTTAGTGGAATGAACAGAGGAAAATTGTGGTCATGTATAACAATCATCACTAGATAAAATCAAAATCATTAATTAAAATATTACTAAATTTAGTTTTAGATTGATCATAACAGACTTGTCTGAAAACAAAATTCATTAATAAATTTTGCTCATTCAATTCAAACTGTTTCTTTTTATTTTTTTTTTTTCTATGATCAACAAAGAGGGCCAAGTACGTTCAATATTAAATGTAGCAGCATCTATTTCAGGTACTCAGCTTAATAGGCCACCTGGGTAATAATCCACACACGTTCCCCAAATTGCCTTTTATTAAAAGATAGCAATGATGATTGCAGGTGCCAGAGGTAAATGATCACTGATCAAAAAGAGGTTTACTGGGACAGGAAATACACAGGCCTGAATCTGTCAAAACAAGGGAGCATATGCTGGAATCTAGTCCACATGCATTTGTATGTAACACGAATATGTATACATGCACTAAACATTTACTTGGAGAAAGGAAAAGATTCAAATGGATGGGAGAGCGCATCAAAATAAAAGTAAGCAATATTTGCTTTGGCGCATGCATTCTTGACATGAAATTGAGGATAAAGATGGCAAATTTTCTTTACAAATTTAATGACGTAAAGCAATGTATGCAAAAAAAGTGACCAGTGGCAGTCATGATCAAAAAATTCGGTCAAAACTGTCAGTTACAGTTTTTGCTCTGAAACATGGATAATTTTTCTTTTTTTTTGTTAATCCTTGCCAGAATTTGTAAGATTAATTTGCTCTTGACAAATGCATCCATCAGTTGGAATGGTAAAATAAATCAGTGCAAAAAAGAAATCAATTTCATTATGAAGATGGTAATGGTGGTGGTGATTGTTTTAAAGTGCAAGGCAAATGGAAGTTGAAGGCAGAGTAAGAAATTGAAAAAGTGGGCAAAAAAGAATATAGAGAGAGAAGAGAATTTTATCAAGTAGAAATCAAAATGATAGTGATACAAAAAGAAAAAATTTAACCCCAATATAATTTTAAGTATAAATCTTACTTGGCTTTTCTTTTGATTCAGAACATAATATTCAAAGTAAAAACAGAATAGACTGAGAAAGAAATGAAAGGGAGAGGACTGATGGCATTTCAGATCTTCCCTTTCATTCTATTGCTGCTCTGAGGCACATACTGAAGATATTCTCAACAGAAAGGGACAAAGAACTGAGGTCACAACAAATGCTGACTGGGATTATCAATGCTATAAACACAAGTGATGTACTTGCTAATAACAAAGCACTAATTATTAAAGAAAACTTATTAACAATAATCACTCATGGACTGTCTTAACCAAACATCCTCACAGTTTCATAACAATATTTTGCTCTCTATGCCAAATATTCTATATACACACTTTTTGCAATCTGGCACAAAGATTAAAGAGGAGTTTACAAAATCTTTAACAAAAGTATGGGCATGAGAATTTTTTTATTTTTTGTGGGGTGAATCAGGAGTTTAATATCAATTGAATGTTGCACATATAACGCTTAACTAAAAGCATTGAAAAACAAAAAGAAAAATTAATAATGGGGTTTTATTTTTACAGTCAAAGAAATAGATGGAAAAAAATTGATTGGAAATGTACAACTGATATTCTTATATTTATTTAGAAAACTCATCAAATAGCCACAGAGGTAATTCAGGCAATAATTTCTGGATGACAATGATAATAGGTCTATCAAAATAGGATTGCATTCCTTGCTAAAAAATAAATAAAAAATTTATTTGTGTGTATCTATGTACAGAAGAACAGCTGAAGATATAAAAAGAAAGAGGATATTGGTTTTAATAAAACAGTGATTTCATTGCAGATATTAATAAACAGCAGTTATATATGATGAGGATGAAACAGAATTGTATGCGAAGAAATATGGCTTTTTGCTTAGAAGATCTAGGCTTCAGATGCAGACAACAATGAAAAAAATTTTCTTAAAAAAAAAAAATTTATAAAGGTAAATAACAAACGAAAAAATATAACCAAAATTTTCAGATCCCAAAAGAGCATAGCAATTCCAATGCTTCTGGGAAGAGAGAGCAGTTGTATAAATTCACAATGCTGAGATGTGGAAATAGCAAAACTCGGGGCAAAACTGGTAGAATGACTAAAGTGGGGAATGGGGTGGCGAAAAACAATGGACGGAAAGTGATGTTTGAAAACAGAAAAATTAACAGTTGTGTAACAAAAAAGTACACTACAAAAATTGGACGGATGATTTTTTTTTTTTTTTTTTTTCTTTTTCAAACATATCATAATATTTAAAATAATAAAAGGTTTCAATGTATAAGTGAACATGTTTGGTGCATAAACAAATAAATTTTCTAATTAGAAAATAGATAGAATTTCTCATCTCAGCAAGGTGAACATATTTGAGATTTCTTTAAATACCTGATCATGCTCTCACATGCACACATAAGACTTTTGATGATTTTGTCTTGTCATAATAAATAAAAAAAAAATTATTGTGCTTTAAGAATGAAACATTTAAACAAGACAAAGTGACAAAAATTTTCATCAAAAGACTCCTTATTTGTAACAAATTAGTAAGAGATAAATTTTTGTCACCAGTTAATTTTCCTTAATAACAATTTGTTAATCACGTTTAATGAGAACAAACTAAAAAAAATTTTGTACTCTGTCAGCAAGAAATAAATATTTTAATGTCTTAAGATAACTATCCAGAGTGCCTGAGTGACAATCAGATTTAAAAGTAAAATTCTTTCAGCTTTAGATGATGATTCTATAGTAATTTTTACAATTTCAGATGATAGAATCACAAGAATATTATTTATAATGCTGTGCTGGAAAATTATAGCCAATGATTGTCTGAAGAATAATTCACAAGAATATTCATTGTTGTTTTTGTTTTAAAGATGACACATCCATTTTTGATTTTAATTTTGAAAAAAATCTTGAGTGAAAATGAGAAGGACAAGGAAAAAAACAAGCAGCAAGTTCTCCCAAACAATGTTGAGTGATTGAGTATAATTATAAATGAATGAATTTCAAGATATTAGTCAGCTGAAGTAGAAATGTTTTAGATTGGTTCTTTGAATGAAATAACTCAATGCAAAACATCCTTAACCAGGAAACCTAAATGGAAAAGCAATGAATGAATGAAAAGAAATGTCTGAGTAATCTGCAAATGCTTTTCTTTTTTCCACAATTAATCAAGATATTTGCAATTGACTTTTTTGTTAAAAAAAAAAAAAAAAATTCATATTTGAACAAGCATAAAGCATTTACAACAACAAAGGCAGCAATGGACATGAGTGAAAACAGCGCAGGTGACAGTAAAGTGAGGAGGGTGCTGAGCAGAAGGAGGTGGAATGGATGCCTCTGACTTTTACCTGCAACTTATTCAGCCAATCCTGGGTGGAAATGAGAGGTTAATACAGGTTGGTTGGCCAGGTGAGCAGTGGACAGATGGCTTATGGGGATATTCGACAAAAAACGAAATAAACCTTCATACTCAACAATAATGAAGAAAGAAAAAAGAAGCTGACTTCAAGAGATTTTCTTCTATATATGGAATGAACACATATGTGAATGATAAGCATTATGGAAACACAGAATGGAAAAAATAGCAGTGGCAAGTAAGATGCAGTGTTGCCAAAATACCTCCTTTTAATGGCTGCAGTTCTAGTGTTTGAACAAAATATTTTGGACTTTCTAAAGGATTTAGATTATGAACACAAGAATATAGAGATTGAAATCAACATTTCATATCAAAATTTCAAGCTTCTATCATTTACTGCATGTATTTTGATAGAACCAAGAAACTATCCTCAAAGCCTTTACTTATTTTAAAAAAATAATTCATCATAAGTGAAATTGTATGTGAACTCAAAACCAAAATTATGACTTCAATTCATTATACTTCAAATCTATCAAACTATTAAGACAATGTTTTTACATGTAAGTTACAAATGTGTTTGTTTTTACTCAAGACTGATACATATATCTGGTTTTAATGCAATAAGCAAACACTGAAGAATAGCTAATAGGGAAACCATAAATGGAAACATTTCTTTCAGAAATTCATAATATCAAAATAGAAGAGAATGTAAACAGCAAGGTGAAAATCAACCAAAACAGGCAGTGACTTCCTAACCACTTTATATTAAGATTGAGTTTAATAAATGTTTTCAGTGTGAAAACTTATGTTCCTTTTTGTTACTAATAAAGAAACTTTCAAAAAGTGATTTTGATTAAATAAAACTCAATCAACTTGTGTTCTTACACCAAAACAAGAATCTATCAATTTGCATCCTTACACCAAAGCAGAATGGGAATCTATAAATGAAAAAAAATTGAATCATTTTATCACATTTTACGTTTAAAATGAATTTCAGTCAGTTTTGTCTAAAACCACTGTATTGGTTCCAGCATTGACATGTAACTAGTGATTTCTTACAATAACCTTTTGACCAATTTTAATGTCAAATTGCATAACCTTTCAAAAATAAAATAATACTCATGATTAATAAGAGCAGATGTAACAGTAAAAAAAAAAAGAAGAAGAAATTTGGAAAAAAAACAGGTGACAAAAAGAGTTCAGTCTTTTTTTTTTTTTCTATACAGGAGCAGGACGAGCAAAGGGCCATTACAGTATTGGCCAATAAGACTGGATATTCAGAAAGGTCAAGAATATTGGGTCAATTGTGACAGACAACAGTTTTTCAAACCTTTAACTTGATAGTAATCCTTATTCACCAAACAATGATTATTTCTACCTCCTTTGGTCTTCTTCATGACTGAAGTGATTTTCATAAGAGTGGAATCAGGGGAAGCAATTACAATTTTAATGCCTAAATAAATGGGAGATTATTAGCATTATTTAAATATCATCCAATAAAAGATTAGCGTGCTACAAGGAACATGATTTCATTTTTATCATAGGCAGTCGAGGCAATAACTTTTCCCTCGTCTTGTACAAAGCAGCTACCAACAAGCTGGCTATCAACATGATATTGGCTACCAGCCACAGAGATCTGGAAAAAAAAAGTTACAGATTTTTATTATACAGTAGCAAATATATTACTAGATGTAAACAGAAGTAATTCTAATTTACTATTTGTTTTTATTTAAAAGAAACCAAAGATAAGTACAAGGCTTGGCTGTAAAATTCATAGGCTGACCAAGATATAAATGTTAGACAACACCAATTGATAGACTATAGGACAGACATGTACCAGAATGCAACAGTTGGTTGGCCAGTTGTTGCATACCTGTCTTATCACAGAAAAATAGATATCAGATATACAAATGTAAAAATTGAGATTTTAAAACCAGATTTAAAAAAAAAAAGAGTGGTAGAAGTGACCAATAGGTAGATACACCATATACAATTATTAATAAAAGTTTAAGATCTCTTAGCTGTAACTACATCTAGCAGCAAGGCCTCTGATTGGGAGATTGGAGGTTTTGAGAAATATGAAAACACCTCTTAACTACTGCTGTTTTCAGGTCCACCTTAATCTGGAGTAGTAGCACCTGTTAGGGTCTCAGCTCTGGGCAAATAGTGAATCCCCAAACAAAAACACTATGAAAGTATAAAAATACATTACTAACAATACATATTTATATTAAAATTACCAACAATACATTTTATCTGTAGTTGAAGGCATACAACTACATTCAAAATATTTAGATTTCAGCATTAAATAACCCATAGAGGTTGATATACCACTAAACAAAAGCAACCATCTCTTAGTGGTATTAAAGTTATTTTCATTTTTTTTTTTTTTTTTGCATTACCTTTTATCATATAAGATTACATGATGCAATAGCTTTGTTGTTTCATCAGCCACTCTTCACACATGATACAATAAAAATCATAAGAGATTTTATGTAATGTATACAATTTAGACTATGAAGCACCCACCAAGTCAAATGATTTGGGGCACCATGTCTAAATCTGGAACAGCAGGACTCTACTTCTTGCTTTCAGGAACAATGACGAATGGTGCAAGGTATGTGGAAATACTGCAAGAGAAACTGGAACTGCATATGCACATTCATCAGTGCTCAATATTTACCCATGATGGTGCTTCACCAGTCAAAGATTGTTCAGAATTTTTTCAAGATGATGACAATATTTGATTGACCAGAGAACAGTTCAGATCTTAACCCAACTGAAAGTTTATAGGAAATTGTCACAAGTTGTAGAAAAGCAAATACCAAAGCATTCTATTAAAGAAGTTTGGAAAAAGAAATCTTGGTTGGATACTGTAAGAAATTGATTCTCAGAATACCCTGTTGCATCCAAGCAGCAATCAAAAGCAAAGAAGGTAAACAAGATACTGACTGCTGGACTGTTTGGTTTGAAATATATAGAGAACATCTTCATTTACAAATTTGTAAATAAAATTGTGTCAGTCTGTGGTGGAAACAAAATGCAGACAGAAGTGCTTACCGCTATTGATAATGGTACCTGCCTCCATCAATTAGAGACTACATTTAGTGTGCTCTCTGCAGAAAAAAAGCAAATGGCTGCACTGCCAGAACAGAACCAGTGTAAACCCTGGGATGTCTGGTTATGAAGATAGTGTCTACCAGCTTTTCCATGAAATAGTTGGGACAATGAATTGGTGTTAGCTATGCAAATGATACCTTTTGCCAGCCTGTCACTAAAGTTTTAGGCTCCATAAAATCAGACACATTTTCTGAGAAGACACAGTCTGGTAGTGCTATGTTGACCATATAATGGGATTGTCATACATTATCAAGGATTTCAGTTTGTGCTACCCAGTATTATTTGAAATTCATTTGTCCTTGTTTTTGTTTCCAGTGTCTTAACTGCATTTGTCCCATATGTGTGGTGTTGCTGTGTGGAAGTCTTGTTTATGATCTGTTCCTCATGATCTATTGTTTGATTCCAGTGCTGCTGATTTTTCTGTCCTTCTTTCATAGACAAATACCTGGCCAATAAAATCCTTCACAGTTTCTCATAAATTACTTGTTTTTATTGTATCGTTTTTAACTTGAAGATGATAAAATTGCAAGGTGGTCTTAAACTTTTGTTAATGATTGTATATTGGGTTTGAAAAAAATTCTTAGTGTTTTTTTTAAATAGGTGGCTTTTGAAGATGTAATTTCATTTCACACGACTGAAATTTATGATGTATAAATATTCCGAAAGGTAACATTTCAATGCCTTTCTATACATGTGTTGGTTGTGAATTTTAAATGTTTTTATGTTAAAAGTGAAAATGGTGGACCATGAGATGCACTTTCATCATTTCATGCTTTTTATTTCCAGAAAGAGAAAAAATATACAGAGAGAAAAAAAAAATGTACCATTTATGGAGATGGTACTATAGCTGAGGGTACTGTTCATAAGAGGTTTGCTAGGTCCAGAAGTAGAAATTTTCATCTGGAAATCAGAAAATATTCTGGCAGGCCTGCAGTAATTGATGATGACCAAATCAAAATATTGATTAAAAATAAATCCAGGTCACATGACATGGGATATCACAGAGATATGCAACATATCACATATAAGTGTTATAAGACATTTGAAAATACTTGGCTACATGAATCGCTATGATGTTTGAGTGGTTCATGATTTGATAGAAAAAAATGTACTGCATTTCTACCTATGATTCCCTGCTCAAAAACAAAAACAATCCATTTTTAAAAAGAGTGATTACAGGTGATGAAAAATGATTTGTTTACAACATTGTGAAGCAACAAGAAAATGGTTCTGGGAAAAATAAAATGAGCCACTGTTAACCACTCTAAAAGTTGATCCGCATTCAAAAATAGTGATGCTGTGCCTCTGATGGGATTGAAAGTGTCACTGTGTATTACAAGATCTTTCTACAAAATTAGATATTAAATTTAGACAAGTACTATTCCCAATTGGACAAATTAAAGGCATCAATCAAGGAAATGTGTCTGGAATTGGCCAAGTGGAAGACTTTTGTCTTCCAACAAAACAAAGCCAGACCTGACATCTCTTTGCAGACTCAGCAGAAATTGTTACACCTTGGATGGCATATCCTACTCCACCCATCATACTCCCCTGACCTTTCACCTTCAGATTATCACTTATTTTGATCCCTGTAAAATTCTCTTAAAGGGAAGAACTTCAATTCTCTGGAAGCCTATAAAAATTAGACAAGTTCATCATGATGGGAATAAAAGATATGATATACAAATTTATATATCCCAGACAAATGGAAAAATCGTTTTAGTGATGTTATTTCATTCTAAGGAGGGCTAATAATGATTTTATCAATGGATTCAGTCTTATATGAGGGTGGGGAGAATTAAACAAACACTGGTTACATTAAAAGCATTATTATGTCTTTCTTTTAGCAGCAGAGAAGTTTGTGTGCTGATGAACAAAAGTTACACATGTTGGGTTGGTTAGAAGAAATAAATGAACAAAATGAAGCAGAACTGTTATATTCTTTTCAAAGGTTATTTCTTAAAAAATGTACAGATTTAAGTAATGTTCTTTTGATAGTCTCTGTAAAATGAAAAATAAATGGTTGAATTTACTTATTTGTTGAGTGAAGGAGTGAGTGAATGTAGTGTTTAGGTCATGTGTTGTGTCCTGGGAGCATGGATATTCATATTCTGTCTTGTTCACAGTACTGTCTTAAAAAAAAGTCTAGTCTCTTCAAATTCATGCTACACATATTCCCATTTTTTAAAAGAAACATGTCCAAAAAGCTGAAAAGTGTAGCTGTTGCTAATAAGGTTTTAACACATGTACATTTGGTCAAAGAAGTTGTACAATCAGTCTGAAACTGTTTCTTCTCTGGATGCAACATGTCCTTAGAAGTTTTTCTAGTTTGTTATTTAATTACCCACTATACATGGAAATGCAATATTTTTCTCAAAGTGATGTATGTATTTCAATGATTGATTTGAATAAATACCTGAAGGGAAATATACAATATTTTTTGCTGAAATTTCTATGTTTCAGTGGAATGTGCTGAACAAAATATTTTGTCTTTTACACTGAGTGATTCAGACTCAATGACCCTCAGTTTATAGAATGTAAGGGGATATTTAACAAGATTTCTTAGATGTATTTTATAGCACAAAATATCATCCTGTATGACCCTAATTTGTTGTTTCATTAGCCTCAGGTAAGTAAGATAAACCTATACAGAAAATATATAATACATTATTAAAAAAAGAGTGGGAGTTTTTACCTATAAACAAGATAAATTCATTTATGTATCAGCATATGAAGTAATTTATTGGACATCTGTAGAATTAGTAAAATCCTATTTGTACCAATGCAAAACATCCTTTGTTAACAGCAGTTACACATTTAATGGTTTTTGTAAACTTTTCAAGCAAAAAATTACAGAGTTGAAAGAAGTAAATATTTAATTGAAAAAAAATAGTTTGCTTTGTTGATCTGCAATAATAATAAAACAAATTTTTCCAAAGCAAAACTGAAAGAAATAAGAAAAATTGTCACTTTACCTGTGGGAAGGGGTCCTTACTTAAATGCCACAACCTTACAAATGAATCTTCTCCAGCAGATAAAACCTGAAATAGAGCACAGAAGACAATTAGATAATAGTTCACATTGAGACTTGTTGAGTTGAAGATAGATCAAGAAGGGATGTGTAGAAAAAAAGTTCTTATTTTGCCAAATTTAAGGCTTGGAACTAAATCACAAAAGAATTAAAACTGTATCTTATAACCAGTAATACCAAGGAGGCTAAATTTGGTATCATTTGAAAAAGAAATCAATTGACTTTAATATAAAATCAACTCGTAATACTTGATTTTCAACAGCTTTTGAGATAGATCAATTGAATTGCACTAGCATCACATATTTCTTTTAATCCTTTTCGAAATAAAACTATCTTGGCTTTACTTATTTTGTTCAAACAACTGATGAATATCAGAGTTTTGATTAATAGCATTGTAGTAGTCCACTTCTTACCTTGGGTTCAAAGGTAGGATATATAAAAATAATTATAATGTAGGTTCTACTTGTCTATCGAGCACTGTTTTTTAAAAATAAAAACAAAAATACTAAAGAACTTTAGATTATTAACCTAACGGTTCTTTCCTATTTTTCAATATATTTGCACACATATATCAGCTCCCAAATAAAGGTTGAGCACTCTGAACCTTTATTTCTAAAATAAGAATCTTAAAAACATGGAAAAAGTAAACTTCGTCATTTCTCTGAAAAACATTTAAAACAAACAAACAGAATTATTTTGTAAAACTTAAGGAATTAATAAGAAGGATGAGATGGAAGACATTTTTCTTCCTTCAAGGGAATAACTCAGCAAAAGAACATGATGTTTATGGCTTTAAAAGCAAAAAAGCAGCACCATTTAACAAAAAGTTGTTTGAATTTGAAATGGACTTACTCAATATAATTAACAACATTGCCTTTCAAAAAAAGAAAAGCAACTTCCAAAAACATCTGGACCAATTAGTAAAAAGCATCAACAAAACTGATAAAATACTGGTGAAGTCTGACAAAACTGGAAATTTCTACAAATTGATGGCAGAGAACTACAATTTAATTAATAAAAATTCAACAAGGACTTACAAAAAAGCTTATAATAACAATGTAAATATGGTAGATAATATTAACAGAACCAGTAAAAATATCACTAATAAATTAAAGATAAGTGATAGAGTAGGCAAACTTGCTGAAAAGGAATGCTATATCACTCTTAAGGACCACAAACCGGATTTTAAGGAAAACCCTACTACTAGAATGATAAACCAAACCCAACATTGGAAAAATAAGAAAAAGAATCCTAGAAAGGATTACTAAGCAAATTAAAGACTACCTTGGATTAACACTCTGGATTAATACCAAAGAAGTCATCAAATGGTTTACCAGTATCAACAACAAGCCTGATTGCATCCTAGTACAGTTCAATATTGGGGATTATTACCAGTCAATATCAAGAGATCTATTCATGACTGCCCTAGAGTTTGCTACTATATATTCAGACCTAACAGAAGAAGAAAAGAACATAATTCTTAATGCAAAAAAATCTGTCCTCATTCATAATGGAGACCAATGAATTAAAAACACTGAAGACCATTTTGACATTTCCATGGGATCTTTAGACTCTGCCGAGTCTTCTGACCATGTCAGTCTATTTATACTATACAACCTAACCACACACCATGAATTAGACATTAAGGACATTGGGCTATACAGGGATGACAGGCTCATGATAGTGAGGAGTTCCACAAATTTTAAAATAGATAAAATTAGAAAGATAATACATAGTGAATTCAGAAAACTAAATTTAAAAACTACAGTTAAAATTGAAAAGGGTAAACTTCCTCAACATAACTTTAGACTTAACCTAACTTACAGAAAACCTAACACTAACCCCTTGTATGTACACCCCAGGTCAAACCATCCTCCATCCACAATTAAGCATATACCCTCATCAATAGAGAAAAGAATCAGCATGAACTCCACAAATGAAGAAATATTTCAGAAACTCAGTAATTTTTACAACATAGCTCTAAAAAATAGTGGATACAAAAACACTAACATCAATTATATAAAAAACAATAGTACAAACCAGAAGAAAAACAGAAAAAGAAAAATCATTTGGTATACCACCCCTACTGTTCAACCAAATGGTTAGCAATAAGCTAGGACAAAAATTCCTAGCGTTAATTGAAAAACACTTTCCTACTGATAGCAAACTTAGCAAGATCTTTAATAAAAACACCTTAACACATTAAGTTACAGCTGCACTGAAAATCTAGAAAGTATCATAAAAAAACATAATAAAATCCTGAAAAAACACAATGCCAAAATCAAATAAATAACAACCCTAAATTAAAATTAGACAAAAATAATGAAAAATTATGTGATTGTAGAAACCCTGAAGATTGCCCATTGGATAATAAATGCCACATAGAATCTGTGGTATACCAATGCACAATCTCATCCATTGAGAATCCATTAAAAAGATATATATATATATAGGATCCACGAAGAATAAATTTAAAATAAGGTGGAGACAACACAAAACCTCCTTCAATAATATTAGAAATAGAAATCAGACATCCCTATCTAAATATTTTGGGCATTTAAAAGAAACGAATAAAGCACCAAAAGTAAAATAGAAAATAAATAGAACAAGAACTTGTAAAAACCTGGGATGACCCATGCCCTTTATGCCTACATGAAAAAGCTACACATTATTAAGTTTCTAAAAAATGAAAATTTATTAAATCAAAGACATGAGATAACAGTTTTTGCCGACACCAACAAATATTCACCTTAAATAATTAGCTTAAAAAATTTTAAATTTCAAAATCTATAATCAAGTTCAATTAAATCAATAGGTTTAAAAACTTAACCCAATCATAAGCTAAAAATACACTTTAAGAAGTCATCAACAAAAAAACAAATTGTAGTTCAATATGACTTATTCATATACAAACAACCCTTTTAGAAAAAAAATCTTTATGTATACAAATTTAACGCCGTAAAAAAAGTGCCAAAAACTTCCTGTTGTTGAAAAAGACCAGACGATATGTGTTGAACGGATGTCATCATTCGTTTGAAAAAAGGCACCCCAACCCTACCTTGACATAACCTCTTTTCGAAAGTAACTAATATGTTGATACAATAGTTGTCAGTGAAAATACCCTACCATCCCTTATAAAAATGATTGGTTTTCTCCATATCCATAGAAACTAATAATTATGAATGTATATGCTTATAAAGCTCCGTAAATTTCAAAATTATTCCAAAATTCGCTTGAGGATGAAACAGAACTAGGTACTTTAATTTAATTTCTGTAATTGAATTGGAAGGTTTTAGCTTCTTTTTTGAAACATGGCAATCCCTATGTAGTGATGGAATCATATTTTTTTAAAAATTAATTATTATATATATTATATATATATATAAAATGGAAATCGGCAACATATCTATATATTCCAAAAGAGGCACATCTTAATCAAGAACAAGAATTGTGCATTATTTTTTTGTAATAGTTAAGCAAGTGTTGCCCATTTCTTTTTTTATTTTTGGGTAAGAAATGTTTAAATTCAGTTTTTGATTTTTTTTTTCAAATGCTTCTTTAACTTTAGTCACTGGTTTTATATTTTTTATCCAACATTTAATATTTTAAAAAGATTTATTATAATTCAACAATAACAGAGTGTCATTGGCAAAGATGACTGCTTTTTCAGTCTTGTGTTCTCCTGATGACTAGCCTCAAAATATGAAGTTGGATTTTCTCAATCTCTCCCTCCAATGCACTTTCTTCAGTTGGAAGAGGATAGAAATGATGGTTCTCTGTGTACCCTACCAATCAATTACCATCACTTACAAGGGAGTTTCAAAAGGGTTCCTTCATATTGCTACAGTATTGCATACCAGAATTTGATTCAAATCTAGTCTGGATTAAACCTGTGAATAGGATTTTCAGTGTGAAAACAGATATATAGAGAGGGGAAGGCAAGAAAATTCTTTTTCTATAGAGACTGAAAAGAATTAATTATATACAAAGGCAGTGAAATATTGATTGAATGAAGTCATGCTTCCAGAAAACTTTTCAGTTGCTGAATTTATTCTAATGAACACAAACAATTCACTATTTTGAAACCCCTTTGCAGGCCACATGCAGCCCTGATCTATTGTATAATATAAAAGGCAATGTGACTATATATATAGATAGATATATAGATATAAGTGTGAACAAACATAGGTATATGTGTATTTATATATACATATATAATATTTATTCAAAAATTATAACATAAGCATGTTATCACTACAAAAATAGCCATTTCAACACTTTTGGTGTCTTGTCAAATGATGGCACACAAGACACCAGAGGTGTTGAAACAAAATGGCTATTTTTGTAGTGATGTTATAACATGCTTATATTATACTTTTTGAATAAATATTATTCGCTCTACTTTGTATTGAGCACTTTTTAAAAAATAGTGGATTTGGTTATCAGAATTTTATTCTATCTATACCAACCCTGTATTTACATATATATATATATATATATATATATATATAGGATATTTTGTATTTGAAATAGAAACACCATTTTTATTTGTTAAACAGTGTGTATTACATCTATTGGCCTGTGTATTCAAGAAATCCTAGTAAAGAAAAATGTGCTAATAACATTTAAAGTAATAAAAATGTTGGAGTAAAAATAAATCCATTGATTCTTTAGATATAGACCAGTTATGTAGTTTGTTCTCCACTACTTATTAATGAGGTATTCTGTTCTTATGGTAACAGGAAATATTGTTCAATGCTAAATGAATATACTTTGAGGAACCATAAAATCGATAACAAGTAATGAGAACAGGTTGCTAATACATTGATGTTTATTTTTTCTGTGTTAGCTTTCTTTGGATATTTTTTTTTTTTACTTTTTATGATTTAAAAAGCAGACTTTTTTTTATTACAGATGACAACAGAGTTAATAATAGTATAAATAAAAATCCTAGATTACTCATGTAGAAAATATGAAAAATGTAATTACAAAATTACTTTAATTTTTCAATCACTTTTTGATGATACAGGTAAACTAGTTATTATATACGATGATGAGACAGCAATGCCCAGAGTTTGTAATACGCAAAATATTGTGTAAGTAGATTCATATAAGTGCAAAAAAAATATTTTGACTGTAGTGTTCCTTTAAAAGGAGAAAAGCAAAAAGGAAGTATTGAGACTGACCAGCCCAGTTTTAGGGGCAATATCTACTGCGTTGATCCACCTTGTATGTGCAGCGACTTCTGCAGCTAGGGCCCCAGTTTTGGCACAGAAAACTCTCAAGTGTCCAGAGCCATAACCACCCACAACACACTCATTCCATAAGCCAAGGCTGCTGCAAGGGCTCCTGCATAATTAAAAAAAAATATATTTTTAAATGTCAACAAATTGAAATTTTTTGTTCATTTGTTTTGTTTTACATTATGATTACATGCAAACCTATTTCTAAAAATTCAAAAATAAAAATATGATTGCTCAATGTTTTTAGAAAGTTTCATTTAGGCTCATCAATAAGCCAGAAAGTCATAAATCTAATACAACCAATGTATCGAGTTATGTTTAAAATCTGATAGCAATAAGATATTTTTGCTATTCTAAAAGGCCCAAACATGAATAATATACATTAATATATTTTCATACAACTTTAAATATGCTATCAATCTACAGTTTAAGTAATTTAGTTACTAACTTGACCGTCCTAACAATGGACATGCCTATTTATAAAACACAATGCTTTAGGAGTTTAGGAAAGGCTGAAATAACCCCGAAATATGATGTTTATGCATGTGTGCTGAAAAGTTCTTGACAGGACCATGAAGGATTTAAAAAAAAAAATAGAAATACAAATTTGATGCTTGGTTTTTTTTGGGAAGAGGGTCAGAACATTTTTAGCACCCACTTGTAGAAGAAAGAGTGTTTAAACAAGAAATTGCTGAAGATGATTTAAAAGTTTAAAAACTTAGATGATTTTAGCTTGAGAGACATTCCACAAACAAGTCGTCCTGTTTAATGATGACCTACTTTTGATTGAACTCAATAGAAATTGTACTGTTATTCTGTCATTCAACAGATTCTAAACTTGGAAATTTAGAGTTCCCATTTGACACAATGGATCCATGACAAAAATGAACTCTTGTAAATTCATATCACCATTTTTGGACAGATTAGTAACTAGCAAAGCAAAATGGATATTTTACAAGAATATAAAGCAATGCAGACAACAGTTTAATGAAGGCAAACAGGCTAATCCAAAATAGATCTCCAGCTAAGAATAGTTTTTGTAAGTATTTGATTGAATTGCATTGGTTTAGTCCATTTTGAGTTGCTATCAGTCAATGTTATGATTACAATGAACGTTTATTGTCAGAAGTTAAAGCAGTTACACAGTTAAACAATGTTTTTGAAGTAGACCAGTGTGATCAGTTACAAAGGCATTGTATTCCATCATGATAATGCACAGACACATACAACAAAGATCAGTTTTGAAAACATTAAAAACCTCATCTCAAAAAAATTCTACATGCTCTTCATTCTTCTAATATTATTCCATCTGGAATTTACAGAGCCATCTTGAGAGATTACTTCTTAAAACAGGTGAATAGGTAGAAGCTACTCTCACAATATTCTTTTCTTTCTAAACTAAGAGATTTTTATAAAACTGATATTTTGAAACTTGTGTATTATTGGAAGGAGTTTATTGATAATTATGAAAACTATATTAATAAATAAACTAAACATGAATTTTTTATACATTTTTCTTACATTAAATTTAAACATAACTTATGATACAGCCCAATAATAAAATACATTTTCATAGATTGGTGATCTTTGTCTTTGGTGGTAGGGCTGTTAAAATAAAACTTGGAATTCTGTTAGTACAATGGAAAAAGAATAAGAGGTGACACAAAATATAAAGCTTCTTCCTCAGTCAAACAAGGAATCCATTTCATCTGCTCATCTCCAACTAGATGGAAGGGAATTAGAACCCAAGTGGAATCTTATCTCTGACTTCTCTTGCTCTCATTTGACCATGTGTTACACCATCGTGTACCACTATGACTTTCTGTGGTCAAGTCACACTGACGAATGTATTAGAAAATTCAAGCTTTCAAGTATTTTGAGTGTTAAATTTACATTTACTTAAAGATTGTCAGATAATCATTACATATACACACAGCTTTCAAAAATCATCATCACTATTTACAATCAATAGATTGTGGTTTTAAGCAATTTTTAAAAAATTTAATAGCAATATAGTTTTCTGCATACTTGGAAAACAATAGAATTCAATCACTTATAGCAATTTTATGGAGACAAATATTGCAGAGAAGTTCAAACAAAAATTGTTTTCAAATTAAATAACACAAAATCCAAACAGTGAAATAGCAACAAGAAATAGTGACAAAATTTACTAATTTTACTGATACAAAACTAATTTATAGTCAATGAATTAAGATTTAGTCCACAACTTTCCAAACTGGTGGCTCATGACATTTTCACATAATTAATTACTAATTCTTTATGAAATTTTGCATTGAATTATTTCTTTATATATATATTTTGAATTAATGGTATTGCTAACAAAACTATAGTAATGAGGTGCAAAAAATTTATTTTTAAAACATGTTGCCAATGCAACAATGACATGTTTATGGCAGAGACAGAAAGAAAACTGTAGGAATTCTTAAGCAAGGTAGTAAAAGAAGGCAAGAAGAAAGGACTAAACAGAAAATGTCTGATTGTCAGCAAGAGAAAGTTTAAGATGTGAACTACAAATTGGCAATGTCAAAATCAAAGTTTAAATATCTGAGAAGTGTTATAACAGACAATGGAAAATATGACCTCAAAATTTGAAGTTTCATTAGAATAACAAAAATTGCCTTCCAAAAACTAAACTAAGTATTAAGAAGCAGGAAAATTACATTAGAAACAAAAAAAGAGTGCTGAACTGTTATGAAACATCAATATAACATATTTAATATCAGAAAGAGACAGTTGAAATTTCTAGGATACATAATGAGGAAAGGTTTGGGAACTTTGACACTCACTGGACATATTGAATGCAAGGGGGACAGAGAGGAACCTATCTAACAAGTTTGTGTAAATGAATGACAGAAGGGGGAGTGGAAGGATAGTAAAAAAGATGAACATTGCTAAAAGCTACAAAGGATAAGAAGTTGTGAATAACCATGATCACCTCCATCCTAAAGGTGAATGGCACATGAGTTTTGCTTTAGTCTTTCAGGAAGAAAAAAGATTAAGGTATTCATTTGAAATGAAGTCTTTAAGGAATGACTTACTGATACCCAGGAATTCGGAACAATGGTAGAAAGACATCATTGCTGGATACTTTCCACAGGAAGATATCACCATCCATGTCAGAACTTGCCATTAAATTGTCACTAGCTGCTAAGCAACAAATTCCTTTCTTATGTTCTGAAAGAAAAATATTACTTATTTGAAAGAAAAAAAAATCCAGTAATATTCAAAATATTTGGCCAAACAGAAAAACAAAACATGCCTGACTATGGAAAGATATGGTCTTATGAATTTTAAAAAAATACAAAGAAAAGTGAGAAAGGATTTTCTTTTTTTTCCTTTGTATTACTACTTTGGAGGGAGAAATTCTTTGTTATATTTTAAATTTAGTAACTTTATAGAAACAGATATTCTACAGTGAAATATTGTTCATGTTTAAAAAATATCAGGAGGGAATATATTTTCCTCTATACACACTAAAAAATATCCCTTCAATCCTAATCTAATAAAAGCAAAATAGGTTTAAAAAGAATGGAAGCCATTTTAAAACTTGAAAGCCAAAAAATTATAATAAATTTTCTATCTAAAAACAAATTAAATAATTTTCTTTTTTCTTTCAATATTATCAAAGAATTTCAAATAAGTTTCTACTACAAATATATAAAGTGAAACTATTTAAAGTTACAGATAACTTCCTTAGGAATTGAAGTAATGAATGATTAAAAAGTAATGGTTATTAGGAAGGTCTTTGTCATTAAAAAGTAAACAAAACAAGATACTTACCAGAAAGTTTACCTGAGAAAGCAATTGTCTTTCCTTTTAGTGGAACTTTGAAATAAAGAATGTCTCCAGTATGAGTCCCTGAAAACAAAAGAACCAATACAAATAATTAAAGTCTAATCAATTTTTTTCTTCCTAGTTTTGGTAACAATTAAGAATCTCACAAATAATTTTTTGATTAAGCTACTTATCAACCAGTATAAGCTAATTATAAATGTATTGAAGTATCAAGAAATTAGCAACAGCAGTACACTGGATGGTTTCATCCTCCCTTACTCAGATGATGCATGTATGATTAAAAAAGTAGTGTAGCTGTTGCAGCCATAGAATGGAAATAATGCAGATTGACTGTTTGGGCTAGAAAGATGGGGCACTATTTCCAACAGAGGTTTTTCTCCAGGTTTTTTCTTGATTAACAGTAACAAGAATATACCAGAAATATGTGAATTTCAGAAAAATAGCAGGTACCCTCAGTTAATACAAGAATGGGGTTGCCAGCAACTGACAAGGATGATAATCAGCCAACAAAATGGAAATATCACATCAAAATGCATCCTAATTCAATACTGTTGCCACTTGACCTATCAAACAACACATTGTATGACATACACTGCATTTCATCATGTTTTGTGGTTGTTGAACCATGACAGTAACATAGAGACCATGGCGTCAGTTACATCACCTGATTTGAGACAGAGAACATCATCATTGCTGCCTAGTCAAACAAGTTATATTTAGTCATCTTTCAGTCAGAAGGTCCTTTTAATATATGAGGCTAGAAATCCTGCTTGTACAAGGTAGTGGTCCCACTCTAATAGTAGCAAGTGTTTGTGATATTCCAAAGGATCACTACTGAAAGTGGTGTCTGTCTTGAAATGAGTGACATCCACAAGTCATGTTGCAGACCATTTACACCACATTTAGCCAATGGTTTATTTCAGCAAAACAGTGCAACCCAACCCTTATAATACTAGGTTAACATGAAACTGGCTACAGAAACACTTGGCTGACTTCTAGGTATGTCATTAACTTCCATGCTCACCAGATTTAAATACTATTGAACATGTTGCAGACATCACTAAAATCCTTGGAGTCATACTAACAAACACAACTTAGTTGTTGACATCCCTAAAATGTTCCTGGACAGATATACACACATTTCTCCAGCACCTTACAGACTCATTGCTATATCAAGTAGCTGCATTTATTCAGTTGAGAAGTAACTAGATATTATTAGGTAATTATTTCTAAATCTTTGGTAATCCAGTTAATACAAACCATATAGTGAGAAGGTAAATTTCCAGAAATAAGTCACAACATCCTAATAGTAATATAGTGGTGTCTGTAGTGTAGACTTTTAAGTAAATTTAAATTGATTTTTAGATTTGTATTTTGTTTAAATGTACATTATCTTTTTCACTTGTGCAGCACCAAAAAAAGATTTTGAATATTGTAGTAATAACTAAACGACTGCCTAATTAGCATATATGCGTCTAAGCAGTAAGGGGAGGGGCAGAATATGATAGGAGAGATTAACGACTACCATTAGACTGAAAAAATATGAATGAAATCACAATTCATAACAGGTATGTTTTTTTGTCAAAATTGAATTGATTTCTCTCAAAAAGATGATACTGATATGTGTGAAAATAAGAAATAATTCAGTCAGCAGTTTGAACCTGCACTTGAGTACTTGATCATAATTTAAAATTGATTATTTAGAGAAAATAATAGTTTTAATCTGTCATTTAATGTAAGACATGAAGTTATACATTTGATATGGAACAAACTCTCAAAAGGAAGTTTCCCTGATCACTATAATCTTAAGCTCAACTAGTCTAGGTTTATCTATCCTCCATATCCTCATAATATGCACTTCTTATTCCCTCCTTGTATGCCCTTACAACATCATCATTCAGTAGCCCTCTATCTTGAGTGGCTCTTGGCCCTTGTATTGAGTGAATGATTGTATAAAAAAATTGATATTGTTCATTAGAAATATATTATTACACCATCATTTGTAATCTTGAAAAGTCAGTTATTTTAATACTATGGCAATTTCAAAGAATAGGCTAACTCTGATTGCAAGCAAAATAAAAAGAATGAAAAAATGAGCGGAAATTAAAAAAATGAAAACTGACTTATTCAAATGAGGAGAGAAAAATACTTACCCACACAGACAAAATTGGATCCTACAGCAGCAATTCCTCTTGCATACATACTGGTACCTTAGGAAAAAGCACAAACATTATCAGTATTCATATTATTATTAAAATCATTAAAATTGGAACTGTCTTTCAAATGAGTCATTCTGTAAATTCTTGGCCACTGATTCTTACCAAATTTAAGAATGAATTTATTTACTGTATTTATAGAAAGAAGAGAGTCAATTTTATAAGAATTGCACATTTAATTCCAGTAAATTGAAAACAGCTAATTCTTTTTCACATCCCTCTGAAAATTCATCTTTTCAAAAAAAAAAAGAATTATCAGAAATGAAATATAAAAAGTGAAAAATAATATGGAATATAATATCAGTGTAGAATATTAAATCAAAAGTTCAAATCCCAGGCTATTTTGTTATGTTCACTTTTGCAAAATTTATCCTTAGGAAAAGCATAAATCCATCTCTTTTTCCCCACCAGCTAGCCCTTGGTGGCAACCAGTCTAATAGATAGAAAACTCTGAAGTCCAAACCACGGAGAAGAGAACTGGAAATTACTCCACTATCTTTCCTTAGAATGCATGGCAATTCATAGATAATAAAGAAAAAGTATCTGTAAAGAGACATGATTGCTTACATCTTGAAAGAACATGGCAGTTTTTAAAAAATATACAGAAAATGACCAATTAATTAGTGCCAACCTATCCATACAGTGCATTTTTGATCAAATAAATCTTTTGTGTATATGAAATGTCCCAAATTCTTAAATCGTAGCATGAACTTTTTTCTTTTTTTTTTACTTTTGTTCACCCAATACATGGCCCAAGGCTCACTCAAGATAGAGAGTTACTGAGTGAGATAGATGTAATAGGCTGGAAGCAGGAAAAGGATATTGTAAGGATATGTAGTATAGATAATAGTTGACCCTAAATTTGAACAGGCTAAGATTGTAGTGATCATGGAAGCATCTTCTTGGGAGACTGTTCCACAAAGTAACAGTTCTGTGGAAGAAGCTGAGTGGAACTTACTCCTTACCAAAGGAATTCCAATTGGATGGAGATGGTATGCCACTCTGAATATGGCATAGGTGATCCTAGCTGTAAAAGTCTCAGCTGGAGAGACCAAGAAATGTAATTTGTTAGAACATAGTAATAGCAATAGAGTAGTGACAGGTTAGCTATGTTTCATCTGTGAGATAAGGGTTGCAGGGTGGAAAATAATTTATCATCCACAAGGTCATGTAAACACTTTTGGACTCTGTTAAGGTTGGACAGTGAAAACTGGGTAGCACTAGCTTAGATATGGTAACAATACTCCATTCTTGGTCTGACCAGACTCTTTTAAAGATAGAGCCTGGCAGCAAGAATTAGGAATTTTCTAGAGTAATACAAAGCACCAACCATTCTTCCAGCATCTTTAGCAATGACAGAAATATATGAGTTCTGTTTGATGTCTGTAGTGAGCTTTAAATTCAACAGGTGTCTAAGGCAAGAAGCCTCATCAACAGGATTGGAACAAATTTATGGGCTGTTTAGTGGTGAACAAATGTTACTAGTTTTGTTTTAGAGCTATTGAAGGATACCAGCCAGTCTTCCCTCCCATTGAGTTGTGAGAGTTAGGTCAGAGGGTAAATCATCTGTCAGGCACTGGTCATCCAGATATTTGGAAGTGCATCCACACATGGTATATATATTTACTAAGGATCTGAGGATGTTCTCAGACAGATCATTAATATAAAGCAGAAAGAAGGTAAGACTGAGGAGAGAGCCTTGGGGGAAGCCATTGAGTTTATGCTTGAATATATAAAAAATTATTTTTCAAACCTTTCACTTTTTATGTCAAATCAATATGAAGGCATGTAAGGATGAAAAAAATGAAATCCAGTGACTAATCCAACAATAATTTATTCAAACAAATGACAAAAAACATTTCCCAAGACAAGCTGGATGCAACAACAAAGCAAACATGTATTTTTTATTAATATATTTTCTATTTTCTCTAATGCCTTGAAGCAACCTCTTGTCAGCAGAAGTTAATTTAAGAATTTCTACATTGGTAATAACTTTACAAACAGCTAATACAAAAATTGGTTGCTACCTTCATAAATATGCCTCTTGACAATGTTTCAGAAACTTCTCAATGGGGTTTATATCTAGGATCTTGATTTACATTATTTATATTCAGACTAATATCCTCATCTTTGTTTTGGCTGTTGTGCCTTATGGCCTTCTGGTATCTGTCAAACCAAATTATCTGAAGAAGGCCAGAAAGCACAATGGCAGAAACAATGTGACCATACCATAAGCCTAATGCTTTTTTTACCCTAATTTACCTAAGTATTCATTAGTTGCACTAGCAAATTGTATTGGAGTGTTTTAGTGCAGGAAAATGATTTTTCTTTGAACACTACTGCCTTCTTAATCTATATCTGAAGATTGGCCTTTAGGAATTCAATCTAGGCAGTAAAGGTGATTTTAACATCATTGTCCACCTTCCAAGGGTTAACCAATCCACCACTGATGATCCCTACCCAAAATATAATCCTTCTACCTCCTTCCTAATGCCTGAATTAAACAGTTTCTCCTTCAGGCTCCACCAATTTTGCCAACTGCTAAGTCCATCCAGTATCCATGAAAAACAATTTCTGAAAATCCAGTTTTATATATTGTTTGACATATTTAACATGCTTAATGAAGTGATTCAACTTCAAAGGAAAATAATTGGTTTGGTACATGTTCTTAAATAGTTCATTAGGCATATTTGGAGCTCCCAACTTTACTATTTGTGAATCTTATTTTCAATTGGGTCTATTCATTGAGTGAAAGTCAAGGATTTATGTTTTCCCTTTGTTAGGTTGTGCACTGTATGCATTTTGTAAAAGATTTCTTGATCATATAAGGATCTCATGCTTTGTGATTTCTTATGATATTTCATGATCACAAAGCATCTGAACAATTTTACCCTATCATCATTACTGAAAGATTCTTTACAACTCATGTTGCATAAAAATTGGAACAGTGACAATATGAATTAATAGCAACAAAATGGATGCCATTTGTTTACTGTTACACAAAACATGTTATGGAACATGATTGGGTTTGTCAAGTACTGTCAAACTTTTTGCAAAATTCAGTTCAAATACATACAATCAATATGAAGATATTTGAGAAAAAATGTGACTTATACAGTATGTTAGAATTAACTGTACTTGATGTTGGTCAACTCCTAAGAAATAATAATTTGCACTAATGACTGTTTATGAACAGTAAATCTTGTGTACACTGCATAAATGAAGGTATTGATAACAAACAAATACTGATATTCTCAAATGGTTACCCTTCCAATACTAAAAGCAATATTGTTCAACATTAAAAAATAGCAGGCAATTTCCTTTGATAATAAGCAAATAGAGTTTTTAGAACAGACAAAAAGATAAATGACTGACTTACATGCAGTGTCCTCAGCAGAAGCTAAGTTGTGCCAAAAGAGTAAAGTGCCATCTGGCTCAAAGAACTTGATAACAAAAAATAAAAACAGTAAAATTTTATTGTGCAACAATGCATAATTAATTTTTTTACATAACTGTAAGAGAATAAAGAGAAATTTGAAGATGAGATTATTTTCTGGTATAATCACTTGGATCACAAAGCATCAAGCTTTCATTATTTGTAGACAAGACCAGACATGTTGCTTTTTACACTCTGACAGGTTTACAAGATTTAAGGAAATCTAAAAATAACTGAACATTTGTTTTTCACACTTCATGATTTGGTTATCAGTGACATACAAGATTAAAGACTTACTGGATAATAGATAATTTGAACTTGGAGAAATTGTTTATGAGAATACAATCCTTGGGATTGACAAATCACAAATGAAAAAGTGAGTGTGTAGGGGGTAATTAAAAAAATGTATTTTTCAGATTTGTGAATGTATCAGAAAAACAATTTGTTGGAGTAAAGAGATGGATACACTAATGTAACATATTTTAACTTTTTGAAATATATCAAAATCAAGGAAAGACAATATCTCTTAATCTTGTCTAAGATTTTTAGGTGACAAAAAGTCTTGTTCATATTATATGTTTACAATCTATCACATGACACTTATTCCAAACAGCATACCTGAGAGTCAATTCAAGTGACTGATTCTCTGAAATATTAGTCACTTCATTGCATGTTTTTTCATTCACCTGTGGATACCTCACAATATAAATATTTCTCTCAATCTGGAAAGGGTTCTGAAGACTAATTTTGTTTACTTGAGTAGATAAATAAGTCCATACCCAGTATGTATTAGCTGAATGTTGATCTGAAATCCTCCCTGTATAACGTTTGATCTAGGTGCTCGATATTCATTAGTGAATTAAGGGCAGTGACATGGAGAGAGATTATGTTGAAAAATAAACATTTTTTATTTAAAATAAATGCTTTTTTCATCATTATGCTGAGGACTTATTCCTGTACCTGTTTATGTTCATCTTTGCAAAAAGAAACAATGGTTGATATTGCATATGGCATAAAAGTTTCAACATTACAAAAAAATATTAAGAAAAAAAGAATAGGAATATAATTCAAGTCCTCACCTGAATTCCCTTTTGAGCAGCAACCACCAAGAGTGTGCGTTGAATACCTAATGTTACCCATTTGGCCTGCAAGACAAAAATACTTTGTTACAAGCAACTGAGTAAACAAAATTTTTAATGAGATTCTCATTGCAGTAGGTTAGTAATTATCTCTAAATGAACTGACAAGGACACTAAGGGATTAACAATAAGAAGAGGGCTAAAAAGAAAAGGCAACAAACAACAGTTGTTTGTATTAAGTCAGCTGCAATTTCAGGCTTCCTATCCAAACATAGTGGATGTGCGTGGGTAGTGTAATAGATATTAGCTGAAAAAAAGAAGAATCAGAAAGCTGATTTCAAATACAAACCTAGTCTGTTGCATTCACTTTTGCAGAAATGACCTTGGGGAAAAAGGATGAACCCATAGTAGGGTAGAGTGGGCTTTCTTGGGTGCCCACCAGTGTAAGAGAATGAAAACTCTGAATTCTATACAAAGAGAAGGCAACAGGGAAACCACTCCACTATTTTTCCCAAGAATGCATGGCAATTCATACATAATAAAGAAAAGGAATTTGTAGAAAGTCACTATAATGGCACTTAAAAAAATGCAAACATAAGCTTAAGGATTAATAATTCAAAAGCCACAAGTTGATTTAAATAATTCCTATATTACATTTGATTACGTTTCCTCTTTACATTGCTAAATAATTCTACTAAGAGCTGCATGATATAAAGTCCTACACAGCCAATTAAAGTTTCAGCTCTTTATTGAAAAGAATGAAAAGCAAAGCCATCCTTTCATATCCAATGCATGAAAAAAAACAAATACCTTTTGAAAACTATCAATTAAATTACATGTAATTTACTTTTTAAAAATTACAAAAAGAAATCATGTAAAACAACATTATAAAACATCTCAGCTTAAACTCAGAAATTTAAAAAAAATGCTAGCAAATATAATTATTTTATCAAACAGCAGCAGGTAGAATTTCTGCTTGATTCTAAATATTTTTTGAAACCTACTAAAGATTATGATAAAAATATTTATCATGTCAAAATAGGTAATTTATTAATTTTCATCTTCACAGTTTATTAACATAATAAAGGAACATATTTTAAATACTAGACTTTATTTATTAGAACTACATAAGATTTAATTTAGCATACTTAGATAATAAATTTCAACTTTCTGGTTTATACAAATAAAGAAAATTTCTGGCTTACAGATTAGAGTTTTAGTAAAAGTACCACATCATCACAAATTGTAACATTGGTTTTTAAAAATTACATAACAATTGTATATCTTATTTATACTATTTACATCATTTGAACTGTTGTCCTCATCTTTATTGCCATATTCACGACATTCCAATCATTGTGAAAATAAAGATGAGAACAACAGTCCGAAAAATGTAAATAGTGTAAATAATTGCAATACCTCATCTGAGGAATATAGGTAGAAATTGTATATCTTGATTTACATTATTTACATTCGGACTAATATCCTCATCTTTGTTTCGGCTGTTGTGCCTTATGGGCTTCTTCTGGTGTCTGTCAATCCAAGTTATCTGAAGAAGACCAGAGAGCACAATGGCCAAAACATTGTGATAATAACAAAGATTAGTCTGAATATAAATAATGCAAATAATAACTCTTCATCCCAGAAATTCAGACACAAATTGTATATATGTGTGTGTGCATGTGTAAATATTTACTGTAGAAAAGACAAAATAAATAAAAAGAGACAAGAAGAAAAAGTATACTTAGCTGATGTGTTTCCTTGTTAAAGTCCCTCAGAGGATTAAACGTCTCAGCTAAGTATAGTTTTTCCTCTTATCTTTTTTTATTTTTATATATATATATATATATATATATATATATATATATATATATCTTGTTTAATTCCCATTCATATTAAACTAGGTACCTCCAAAGAAACAAAATACTTAAAGTTTAAAATGAATTTTTAAATTGAAAAATCTTACTTTAAGCGTTTATTGTACTTTTAATTTCATGCTAATAGATTAAATTTAATATTTCCAATAAACAAATTATTTTGATGTATTTCAAAACTAATTTAAATTGACTGGAAGGAAGTTTTTTTTTTAAATCACTAAAAATTGCTGATTTTAGTGCTATTTTTAGCTATCTTTTAGTACAACATAATTCTCTATTAAAAAATCTTTCAAAAGTAAAATACACTTTTCTGAAACTTTATTTAAGAAATATTAGCTGATTTAAAGTTTAATTAATCTGATTTGAAACAAATATTACTTACTTTTAGTTTAAAATATCATAGAAATTCATTTCTTTTATTTTACACGGAGGTAGGTGTTTATTTAAGGTACTGACAGCTTGACAGACAGCTGGAAGTTTATCTAATTTTTTTTCTACAGGTGACATATCTGTAATAATTGAGGAATGTAACATGAGCTCCACTTTTTTATAATTTTTAACTACCCAATAATCTTAAAAATTTCAAAAAATATTCTTCATAATCTAATGCTTTATTGAATTTTTACTATAGGATATTAGTCTAAACTCCATTGTGAACCTGAAACATTGTCAAGAGATATATTTGTGAGGGTAGCAACCAATTCCTATATTAGCCATTTGTAAAGCTATTTACTAATGAAGAAATCCTCAAATTAACTTTGGCTAACAGGAGGTTGCTTCAAGTCTATTAGAAAATGAGCTCCTTGATGCAATTCTCTCTGCCAGAAATTTGGAAATGGCATGCTGTACTGCTTGGCATTTGTGCCAGAAGTTCCAATACAAACATTTCAAGGTTTGGGTATCAATCTGAGGACAAGGCAGAGGATTTGGAAAAAGCTGAATGAGTCTAATGATGATTATGAAGGTATGGCAGCTCGGAAAACTCACTCTGATCCTTCTGATTTGTTGGAGAGGGCCTCAGACTCAAGAGGAAGACTTACATCAAGTGCCTTGAGGAAGTAGTGCTGCCCTGGGACAAGAGGGTAGCTGCTGGAAGACCCCATGCTTGGCAACAAGACTCTGCACCATGTCACACAGGCAGAACCCAGTTATAGCTGTCAGACAATTTCTGTGACCACTCCTTACATATGGCCACTCAACTCCCCAGACTGCAACCCCCTTGATTATTATTTGTTGGGCACAGTTGAGCAACAGACCAACAAAACTCCTTGTAACACCAAAGATGAACTGAAGGCAAGGATTATGGCAACATTCACCAAGAACAAGGAGACCAGAAGAGTTGCAGGAAATTCCAAAGTCATCTGGAGGCTATGGTTAAAACCAATGGAAATTTTATTGAATAAATTTACTCTTTAGTATTTCTAGATATTTTTGTGTAATTTTGGTAAACATATCTGTTAAAATGAGTTGTCAGTGTTATTTTCATTTTTGTGTTATTCAGACAACAATTTATCCATCATACCCTGTATACTATTATACACATGAGATCATTGCATTTGATGGACATACATTTAAATTAAAATTTAATTTTTTCTAAAAAAAAAAGAAAATCAAGATTAAATTAATCAAATCTTTTACCTCTAGTAACTGATAGCATTAATATTTCTGATAATGAATAGAGAAGATGGAAAATACTCAAATGAAAATATGAAATTTAACCAATTTCTTCTTAAATTTGATTTGGATGTATAAAAACTTCTATGCAAACTGGAAAAGTGCAATAAAAAATTTAATAGATAAAAGACAGACCTTGTTTGTCAATTTCATGCTTGAATGATTTTTTTCAGCTTAAGTATATGTTTATATACATATATATTTGTCAATATAGACAAAAGGAAAACTATTCTTTACATATTTTCATCAACTTTATCAAGACAAATGTAACAATTTTATTTTGCAAGATGTATTTATAAACAGAACATTGTTAGGTTCTCAAAATTTTTAAATTTAACACTCAAAAATATTAAGACTAACTGTGAAGGTCAAGGTAAATTATGAAAGATGCCAAGTGATGTAATTTAATACTAAATATTCCAAAGTTATTATTATTGTTGTTGTTGAATTTTTTCTTATATATATAGATTTCATTAACATTTTTTTAATTAATGTAGTTATTATAATTAGATAAATTATTTATGTCTTTTTTTATTTTAAATAATAGGTTTTAATTAAACCATTTTCTTTTTCATATTTTTTATATTTTTATAGTCATGTACACTACAGTTCAAAAGTTTTAGTACACTTCTGGTATTTTTTTAAAATTGGCTCAAAAAGTAGTTGTTTTGTACTTTAAATAAGAGAAAATTATGTTACATGGTTAAAAAAAAAAAAAGAGACATGATTTTTATTAGAAATTTTATTATGTCAAAAAGAAAAAAAACATTTTATGATAAAACTTTGCTCTCGTCAAAATATCCTCCTTTAGCCTTGATTATTGCAGCACAATTTTTTCGCATTTGTTGCAAAAGTTTCTCAAAGTATAAGTTTGATAATTGATTCCATTCTTTTTTCAATGACTCTAAGAGCTCTTTTCAATTTTTTTTTCTAATCTTCTGTCAAGTTCACCATGCTAATTCTGGGGGTAGCTTCAAACTTTTGAACTGTAGTGTATGTTGGTTTGGGAAAGGCGCGCATATATATATATATATATATATATATATATATATAAAGAAATATAGTCTTAAGATGTGCTATATTTATGGGATAAAGTGCTCAATATCAGAGATAGAGAGTGTGTAAATATAAAAGAACATAGAAGTCAACATTTAGAGACAACAGTCTGTTTCATCCTAGATGCAATCGCCAGGCCTGACAATTGCATCTAGCATGAAACAGACTGTTGCCTCTAAGTGTTGACGTCTATGTTCACTTATATATATATATATATATATATATATATATATATATATAGAGAGAGAGAGAGAGAGAGAGAGAGAGTGTGTGTGTGTTTGTAACACTTTTCTTATCTATCAGAAGATTAGAAATGTCCATCATAATGTAGTGGAAAAATTGCCCAAGCTATTTCAGCACCTCCTTTTAGGGACACCTCAGGTGCCAAGTTATGACCCCATACTCCAACCGAAGGAGAGATACAGCCTAGTTGGGGGTGCTAGGGGCTTGAACTTAATA